CCCCCACCCCATCCACCCTCCACTCCCCAGGCAGGGTAGGGCCCTCCACAGGGGCTCCTCAAAGTCCACCACATCATCCTGGGTTGGGCCTAGGCCCTTCCCCATGTGTCCAGGGCAAGAGTGCGTCCCTTCATGTGGGATGGGCTCTCAAAGTCCCTTCTTACACTAGGGAAAAATACTAATCCACCACCTGGGGCCCCCTAGAGTGCAGAGGCCTCCTCATTGACATCCATGTTCAGGGGCCTGGATCAGTCCTGTACTGGCCTCCCAACAGCATCTGGGGTCAATGTGTTCCCCCTTGTTCAGGCCAGCTGTTTCTGTGGGTTTTACCAGCTTGGTACCGACCCCTTCGCTCTTCATTCCTCCCTCTCTGCAACTAAGTTCCAGAGTTCAGTTCAGTGTATATCTATGGATGTCTGCCTCTGCTTCCATCAGCCGCTGGATGAGGGCTCTGAGGCTCGGGCACCCGCTGCAGGACAGAGGGCAGGGTGTAAACAGGGATCAATTTTTGGCTTTTTAAATTTTAATTTAGTTAAGCTGGGCAGTGGTAGTGTATACCTTTAATCCCAGCACTCAGGAGGTAGAGTCAGGCAAATGTCTGTGACTTTGAGGCCAGCCAGTTCTATAAAGGTACACAGAGAAACCCTGTCTCAAAAAACCAAATAACAATAATAGTAATAATAACAATTTTATTTATTTATTTCACATCCTAACTGCAGCCTCCTCTCCTCTTAGTCTCTTCCCCCCTGCACCTCCATTTTTGACTTTTGAATGTTCAAAACATTTATATTCTTATATAATAATATCACATCCCCTCTTCCCTGCCTATAGCACTAATTCTAATCACTATTAATAATAAAAAAACCCAGATTCAGATATTAGTGGGGGAAAGATGAGAGATCGGAGAAATAAAACGGCCAGCCACTAGCTCTTACTTCTACCTCAGACAGAAGCGAGGATCCTGTCCTCAGACTGCTTCAGACTGACTGACTGCTCAGACTGCCCTGTGCTCCTGTCTCCTTCCGCCTTATATTTCTCTCTCTACCCAACCATATCCCTTTCTGTCACCACCTCCTTAGTGCTGAAATTAAAGGCGTGCCACTCACATTGCTGAGCTTTGTTTCTCTTTTAGACTGAATCAATTTCATGTATTCCAGGGTGACCTTGAACTAACAGATCTGTCTGCCTCTGTCTCCCATGTGCTGAGATTAAAGATATGTATACCACCACTGCCTGGCCTCTGTGGCTAACTAGTGGGTCTAGCTTTGCACTCTGATCTTTAGGCAAACTTTATTTGTTAGATCATAAACAAATATTACCACACCTGCCCTACCTGCAACCCTTTTTATGTTCCTTTTTCCCAATCCGTCCCATGTCCCTCCCCAATTGATTGTGCATTAGGTGCAGGAGTTGTGTTACAGTATGACCTGTTGTGGTTTTCTGTAATAGTGTGCATATGCTATGAAGAGATGCTTTGATGAGGGGTGAGAGCTACACTTATCTGTTGGTATAATAACAAAATGTAGAATGCTGCTAGGAATTATGGTTGGTTAGGTTCCCAGTACCAGACATGATTTTTCTCCTATTGAGTGGGCTGTAAATCCAATTACACAATTGTTGGGTGCTGCCAAGATAAGTGTCACCATTGCACCTTTAGGGATATCTTGCCATACTGGGCATTGTTTTAGTTCATTGATGTAACAGTTGGATAAGAGCATTGATTGTTTACCCCACACTTGGAAAGCTAGAGGTTTCCAGGTTAGCAATAGTTTGAATCTTCTACTTCTGTGCCGGAAGAGTGTACTGTCTTTGGCAGTAGGTACTTATCTTCAACTCTGAGAGGTAACCAAAGGCAACAGCAATAGCCTAGCACTTGGACTACCCTGATCAACAATTCAAACAGAGGTTTTTCATGTCTGCACTGGGGTTTTTCTTATATCCCCATTCACATGGGGATCATGGTTCACCTGCAGCCTGAGGCTGCTTGAATGACGTTAGAAACGGCGCGTGCTTATCTATTCTTTTTATTTCTGTTTACAAGAACACTTAGTTCCTTGCAGTTCCCGAGCGAGTGAGCTGGTATTTCCAGTCCCTCACACTTACTGTGAACTTTAGAAGACATCTAATTTTAGATAAGAGAATTTCTTTGTGAGGTATCCTGAGCCTCAAACCCCACTTTAGGGGGTTTAAACCTATTCTGATGTTCTGTTTGAGGTTGTTAGCCATAAGCTAATTAAGTGCAGGAATTCATCTGATAATAGCAGAGCTGTTACTTGAGTAGTTAAAATTACCCTCTTCTTGACAATAATGAAATTGCATCTGTTCATTCCAAAGAGAGATCAGCTCATTAAGACAGAGGCTACAGAGACAAGAGAGGCCTCTGCATCTCCTTCCCTAGAGGAGTTGTGTCTTTCTTACACAGAGAGAGAGACAAAGACAGAGACAGACAAACAAAAGGTCTTATAGCTGCTTGGATTTAAGTCTCATCCCTTATCTTAGGAGAACTTGTTTAGTACTGCTTACTTTGACCTCTGGGAACACATCCCAGGTGGTAACAGGTCACCTCCATGCTTAGTCATTATTTTATGTCTCTCTGTGTGCATCTTTATGTAGGAGCACATGTATGCATGTGCCTGAGTGCCCATGTGTGTACTTATGCTGTGGAGGCCAAGGTCAGACTCCAGTGACATTGTCAACTGTGTTTCTTTGAGGTTGGAGCTTTTCCTTTTATCTGAAACTTGTCTATTTGACGAGGCTGGGCAGCAAGCCTCAAGAATCTACCAGTCTCTGCCTCGTCAGCCATGGGACACCGTGTCTAGTAGCTAATGGGGCTCAAACTCAAGTCCTTGCACTTGCATGTTAAGCACTTACCAAGTGAGTCAGTTCACTAGCCATGGATTTGTTGTGAACAGCATTATGACAGGGAGTATGTAAGGATAAAGGTTTAGATGTACTGTCCATACATATTAGAGTCTGCCACTTCTCTCCAGCCTGATGGATAGCACAAGAAGGGAGAGGTGCATGACAGAGAATGACTACAAAAGGAGCCCTAACTTCAGACAGAAAGGTACATCCACTGTCCTGAAATCATACTTCACTTTTTACAGAGTGTAAAACAGTCATGCTTCTAAGTACTTAAAATTCTAATAATCTGTTTTTCTTTCTCAGGTGTGTCCTCCTTAAGTATTCAATTTGCCAAACTCCCAAAGGGATTGAAGCATTTAAACCTATCTAAAGCCTCATTGTCACCTAAAGGTACAGTATATGTGATATACTTCATATCGTGTCTCTGATTGTTGTACCTGTTGCTTTTGACCAGCTATTACTCTGCTATGTAGTTGATTAAAATATGCAAATTATAGTATGACAACAGCTTTAAGGTTAAGATATTGTACAATTCAAACTTGATAATGTAAATTTAAATTCTTTGTAGAAAGTAATTTTTAAATTTGTGCACAGTCCTAATTATGTAAGCTTTGAGCCAGTAAGTTCTCACTGGCTGGCTGCCTCTAGCCTTGTAACTCACTTTCCTGGAGGCACCTGTTCATGTTTTTCTTGGTTCATTTTTGGCAAAAGATGTTGGCTTCCCCAACTGTCAGAGTGAGTGTCACCTTCACACAGAGTCACTGGGGCTTGCTGCTGAGTCACCATCATAGTCCCTCAGTTCTGGTCTGTTCCCAGAATGGTTTATTATTCTCTTGGGTCTGACTCCCTCCTTCCCCATGTCATTTATCTTATCTAGTCACTCATCAAACCCTGTGCCTTCTGTTGCTCTGACCAGCTCATGGCAGTATTAGAAAAGCCCTCCACACACCATCTCTTAATTTGTTCCATGCTTGGTACCTCTGACCAGCTCATGGCAGTATTACAAAAGCCATGCTTGGTACCTGGACACCCTTTCATCTCTTTATATTCACAGAGCTTCAGTGAACCTGACAAATTCTTTATCTGTGAGGGTCTCTGCTTCAACAGACTTCTCACTCCCAAGACTACTGGTCACTTGCTCCTTTCTCTGCCTATTTATAGATCACACCAGGGTATTACTGTCTCAGTACTGTGTCCTTTCTATGAGAATGGTTCACCTTGGTCCCATGAAGTTCTTGTGTCTAAATCTGTGGTTCCTGGCACAATGACTGCACCATTGTGGGCTTCACTGAGGTTTCTAGAATTGGAAAAACTTGCCATTTCTTAAGTGATAGTCTCTGCTGTCAGTCAGTTCAGATTACCTGTGTTTGAAGCCTGGCTTTCCTACTTCCTGGGAAATGCTGTCCTCATCTCTATTCCCCATTGACTTGTGAGATAAAAATAAATTGCCATTTTGTCATGATACTGGCGTTCACTGAGTTAATAAACACGGTAGGTATAGTTTCAGGCACTTTGATACTGCCAGCAGCTGCCACGACCTTCCATGATCACAATCACCATGCAATCACTGTCACACTCAGCTTCGCTATTGTTGTCTCTGTCACCATCATCATCATCATCATCATCATCATTGTCACTCTCACAATCACTGTCACCAAACCATTGCTACCCTGTCTGCTGTCACCCTCATTGTCATTGCTATGATGGTTACTTTCACTTTCACCATCAGCGTCACTGTCACCGTTGTTTTCATTATCACCCTCACTATTGCCACCACTGTCACCGCCACCGCCACCATCGTTATGGCTGTCAGCATCACTATCCGTATTACCACTATCGGTGTGACCATCACTGACACCAGCAGTATCATCACCATCTACATCAAGACCTTTGCCATCACCATGATGTGCTGTCATGGGTCGCCACATACTTTTAGTTAAACGTGGGACAGCTTGCATGTGCCTACTGCCAATTAAGTGAACTCACTCTGACATTTAGCTTTTCTCTAATTTTCTTTTCGAAGCTCTTACCTCTCAACTCACCTTCCCCACTTGCTTCTTCCCAGGCTGCGTGGTAAATCTCTCTGTTTTTAACACATGTGCATTTTGGTTTTAAAGTTTCTGGCTGGTAGAAGCATTACCCACTCAGTGCCGTGCCTGATATCGCCTTGTCTCAGGGTGTCACCACTGGCTGCATTTTGGTTAAATGCCTATAGCACTGGATGCTGGTCCATCCAGTTACATATTATTCTGATTATAGAATTGCAATAGAGTGTTTTGGAATCAGAATTGATACATAAATGTCACCATCTCATGTGCATATACTCTTGTACCCCTGTTTAACACTAACGTGTGCCTGTCAGCTACTAGTAGGAAATTTCCCCAGGTCAGTGTTAGCTGATCTGGTGCCAGAAACCAGATACAGGTCCCAAGCTAAGATTCACTTCTTTTTGCTGTTCCTGTTAAGGTCAGAAATTGAGAAGAGCATTTCTGATGATTATCAACTTATTGGCATATTTCTGATAAAGACACCGATAGGTTAAGTGAATAAACAAATACTATTTTCAATGTCATCACTCTTTTTTGGGCCCAACCTTCCCACTGCTTTCTGATGTCTGTACAGGCATGCAGAGCTGCTTGTGCTGTGATTGGTGTTTCACAATTGTGGTTGATGATGTTGGTAAACTCACTCACTTTCAGGGCCACCTGATGATCCAGGGTATGGTGTGACATTATGTAATTTATTTAAATAATCTGCCACACACATGCATCGTTTTAAGTTCTTCAGCAATGCCAGTGTCATTGATGTGAACTTGGCCACTAATTTTGCTTATTTCCTGCATCTTTTTTAGGATAAATCTCCTTAAGTTGAATTATTAGCTCAAAAATATGTACATATTTAGAGCTTTCATGTTCATTGCCATCTTCTCCTAGGAGTATTTTATATAAATTTGTTTATTTTCTCACCATCACTGAATATTATTTTCCCTTTTCATCCCCAACTCTTAAGATTGACTCTCCTGTAACACAATTTGGCCTTGAACTCTTGATCCCTCCCTTCTTCTGTAGCTCAAGCTGGCTTCTAATTCATGGCAATCCTCCTGCCTCAGCCTCCTGAGTGCTAGGGTTATAGTCATGAGCTGCTGTGACTGATGCCCTTTGTGTTCTCTCATGAAAATGAGTTTGATGTTCTCCTTTTCTCTGGTGGTGATTCTCAACCCTCATACAGTTCCTCATGTTGTGGTGACCCCAACCACAAAATTATTCTCATAGCTACGTCATAACTAATTTTGCTACTGTTCTGAATTATAATGTAAATAATCTTTATTTTCCAATGGTCTTTGAGGGTCACAACCCATATGTTGACAACCACTAGCTTAGGGCATTCCCCCACTTTTCCACAACCTTTTGTGTGTCTTCTTGGAATGTTGCTACTTGACATTCTTGGTCAGTTTTCTATTTACAGTGCTGTTTTTTCTTAATGTATGTACGTTCTCTACCTATATTAATTTGCAATTGTGTTCTAATATTTATTAATTATGGTAAAGCAAAGAGAGGGGCACATTGATCATCTGTCCTTTGCAGGACAGGCTTTGGTTTTGAGGTGGCCTGTCGTCACTCATGTCCTATCCCTTCACTATGACAAAAGTAGGGTAGCTGCACAGGTAAACAAAGGAGTTTTTGTGTCCTTGAGTGAGGACAGCCTGGTCTGCTTGAACCTGTCACAACTAGTGTTTCCCTACCTGTGTCTTTCATATAATGCAAGAGCCTGTGTCAGAATGTGTGCTTTGAGAATTGCATTGTTTTATAAGATAGGATCTATAGAATTTTAAATTGTCCTTTTAAGATGTATATCTTGAATTGTTCAATTTTAAAAAATACTTGTTTCTTAAAGACAGGCTCTGAAAGGTTTAGAGTTTTGCAATTGTAGATTTAAGTTTCTAGTAAATGTGACATATTTTATTTCCTAGAAAACATGTATATTTATGGTTCCATAATAGAAGACAGATTTTTTTAATCTCCCATGGCCCCCAGCACATGCACTCTCCCTCATCTCAGACACTCACTGCTTGATGGCTTTCTGGACTCACACAAGCATCCTGCTGCCTGGCAGATTATGTCAAGGCAGGACCATCTGGAGCCACCTCTTCCAGCTGTAAAGTCTGCAATCATGAACACTGAGCGTGGTCAGAATCTCACAATAACCAGAGCCAAGGATGGCATGCCAATCTGTGCTGCATTTGGGTCGTAAGAGCCCCGTGTTTCTCCAGTGCTATAGTTTTGTTATTCCTGTCATTCTTGAGCTTATTAACACAGGCCTTGTGCAAAACATGGGCTCAGGAAGTGGGGAGGGACGACCCTTCTGCTTTAGGAGCATGAAGGTGGCCTGGTAACAGTGTCCCTCTGGAGTCTAGTCAGAGGCTGGCTACCTGCCAGGCACCCATGCTTGCCAAGGGGCTCTTTGCTGTCAGGATTAATTTGGTCTTCTCATTTTGGAATTTATTTACTGGGTTTTATAGTCCTTCACTTAAATACATGACTTTATATGTGATTTTCTTGAACAGAGTCTGGTATTCTCCATGTATTTTAGGCCCAGTCATTCCACTAAAAAGAGAATGGTGAACACTGAGGGCAGGAGAAGTGGCTGGAGAGAAAGCAAAGCACTTGTAGGTGTGAGGTCTGGAGTTTGATCTTCAGAAGCCACATGAACAACAACAACAACAAAAAGCAAAACAAAAATACAGGCCTGATGGCAAATACTTGCCATCCAGCAATGAGGAGGAAGAGATAGCTGAATCCCTGGGGGCTCATTAGCTGGTCAACTTAACCTAGTTGGTGAGTCCCAGGTCAGTAAGATATTCTATTTCAACAAACAAGGTGGAGAGCTACTAAGGTTGACCTGATGCCTCCACTTGGACACATACACATACCCCCCACCCTCATACACACATGAATGTGCAATGAATATGGATGACAGGGTAAAAGAAAGGATGTTGGTCATTTATGCATTCATATAGATTCTATATAATGTATACATGTATGCTATAGAGGGTTGCTTTGGGCTGGTACTGCAGGTTCTATTTGTGAAAGAGTCCTACTTCCTTGTATTGGATGCTCTTGATCCTTGTGTGGATGGTAACAGTTGCCTCACTGGACCCTGAGGATGGTTGTCCTCAGGGTCTGTGGGATATTACAGATTGGTTCCAGCTTCTCCCCCTCCACATGCCAAGTCCCTTATAAGTGGCATAGCCTTTGCATATAACCCACACACATCTTGCTGTGTGTATTAGATCATCTCTAGATTATTTATAATGCCTGCTATGAGGCTATATAGTTATTGTCTCAGTTTGCTTTCTATTGCTATGCTAAAACACTAATCAAAAAGCAAGTTAGATAGTAAAGATTCTATTTAGTTTTAGATTACAGTCCATAATCAGAGGAAGCCAGGGCTAGGTAGAACTCAAGGCAGGAACCCCAAGACAGGAACTGAAGCAGAGACCATGGAGGGGAAGTGCTGATAACTTGCTTGCTCTCCATGGCTTGCTCAGCCTAATTTCTTATTATTCTTTGGACCACCTGCTGGTGGCACCACTCAGAGTGGGCTGGATCCTCCCATATCAATCATTGATCAAGAAAAGGCCCTACAGATTTAACTACAGGAACTCTAATGGTACATTTTCTCAATTGAGATTCCCTCTTCTCAGATGGCTCCAGCTTGTATTAAGTTGTGAAAAACAAAAAGAAAAACTAGCCAGTGTGTGTGTGTGTGTGTGTGTGTGTGTGTGTGTGTGTGTAATCATTTAGGGGATGCTGACCAAGAAAAAAGTCTGCACATGCTCAGTGTATAACCCTCTTTTGTTTCTGGATTTTTTAGATGGGTCTCAGTATATAGCTCAAATTTGCAATGGCTTTTTAAAATTTATTTATTTTTTTTATTTTTTTAGGCAATCCCATGTATCCTGGTCTTGCCCCCAAACAATGTATTTCAGGCTGCCTTTTAAACTCCTGGCAATCATCTTTTACCTCAGCCTCTCTAGTGCTGAATGTCAGAATGAACTGTAACAAAAAAAAAAAAAAAAAAAACACAAAAAATGCTTTGGAATATTTCTGTGCAGGTTGGCTGAATCCACAGATGCAGAGACCACAGGGGAATAAAGCCCTCTGTGTTAATCTGTCTGTGTATGATGGTCTCTAAATGTTTCAGGACAAAAATGTGTCTTTCTATGATTCTACATCTCATAAGCAGTAAATGTTGGGTTGATAGTCAAGGAATTCTTTACACCTGTCCGAAATATTCCTCAGTGTTCTGTCTCCTCCTTTTCCATACCTCAGTGTTCAGTCTCCCTCGAGCTCAGGGGCCTTTCACAGGTTCCCATTGGAATGATCACCTCTCAGCCTAGTTAAGTTCAGCCTGAGCCATTTCTGTCATGAGTATAGAAATTTTATAGTTCGTTAAATGAAAGTTTTCCCTTTTTGCCAGGCATACTGCTCTACTCCTGTTATCCTAACTCCCAGGAGGCAGAGGCCGGAGGATTTCGTCCTGTTTAGTTTACACTGGGATACATAGTGGAAACCCCATTTCTAAAAACAAGAAGAAACAGTTATTCTTTTCAATTCCTTCACGTTGTGAGCATTTCATCTCACTGTTCAAAATCCACTTCAGTTCAAATTTCACCTTGAACATAAATGCACTTCAATAGAGTAATATATTCCTCTGTCAATTTCCCAATACTTAAGCAGCCCAAATGACCAGTATTTGCATGTGTACCATTTAAATACTATTCACTAAGTCAAGAATTCTCTGGTAGGGTTAAATGTAGGCTTAAAATAATCAGCTAGATGGCTTTCATCACTCTGGGACTTGAAAGTTAAACACTTTCTGTTCTTGTATAAATTGAAAGACAAAAGTGCAGGTTGTCGGTGAGAAGTCTGGCTTCCCAGAGGGACTGTCAGGGAACTAACAATCAGTGGTCCCCTCCAATGACAGAGCTCTGGCCCTGTGGGTCTGGCAGTGTGATTTGTCTTGAGGGCTGTTTGTGCAAACTCCTCAGTCTCATTTTGTTTCTCAGAGTGGACACTGAGCTTGGATGATTACTCTTGTTGCAGGGGTGAACAGCCTTTGTCAGTCCCTCAGTGCCAACCCTCTGACTGCCTCTACCCTCACCCACCTGGACCTCTCAGGGAATGCTCTCCGAGGAGATGACCTCTCGGTAAGTTTTCCTTTCCTCTCCAATGGGGGCATCTTCAGAAAGCCTGCGATCATTTCTAACCTGCCATCCTGGCTTGTTTCTCTACCACACTCTTAATCGACACACTTTAAAATCCAGTTAAAGGCTCATGCAATGTTGTGAAAATTCCAGAGCCTGCCTTAATTGAATGTAGACTGTCAAGATAATTAAGTTTCTTCTTCACTTAATGGTGCTGAGGTTCACATCCTTTTTGGAAATAGTTTCATTTTCAGATAGTGTTGTTGGGATACTGATGCTGTTTGTTTGTTTGTTTGTTTGTTTGTTTGTTTGGAGAGAAGCTGTCAACCTTGAACCCACTGTGTATCAGAAAGCTGACCTCTAACTCAGGGTGATTGTCCTAACTCAGTGTTGAGATTGAGGGTATGAACCAGGTCCCCACCCAGCTTTTGTTTGTTTATTTGTTACTATTAAAGGGGGCTATTAGGATAACCCTGGCTGCAGACTATTCCATAAATAAGCTAAATGTAATTAGGGGCTACTAGTTAGAGTTTGATTTTGAAGGCCTATCTAAGTAAATAGATAAATAAATTCCCTTCAATTCTAACAAGATGTTTTATGTGCTTTAATAGTAATATAAACATTCAACAGATCTTTCTGTAGTGTGAGGGGTTAGTTATGAGTTCTTTATGTGGTAAAGAGTCCCTTCTGGTCACCATTCTAGAGTTTAAAAGAAATCTGCCTTTGGTAATGGGGCTTGCAGAACGTGAGTGTTTGGAAAGGGCCTTCATTTATATACTGCTACTCCACAGAGATGAGAAACATTGCAATGTATTCTTATTTCTTTTGTTTTACTTTACCTTTAAGGCAGAGAATACAAAATGAAAACTGTGCGTGTGTGTGTGTGTGTGTGTGTGTGTGTGTGTGTGTGTGTGTGTATTTATTTGAACCCCACATACACAGACACTTGAAATCATTTTAACAGTGCTTGTTTCCTGCTGTTTTCCATCGTCATTTCTGGTATCCACTGATAATCCTTAAAAATGATCCTTCAAAGATAAAGCAAAGAGCTCCATGGGAAAGACCATGGACTTCATGGTGGCACCATGAAGGATAAATGAAGTGGAAAGCTGGCTTGGCAGTACATTCCTAGTACTCAAGAGGTTGAGACAGGGGGATTGAAATGAAATTGAAGTCAGCCTGGGCAACAAAATGAGTTCCCAGCCAGCCTGCATTACAGAGTACAACCCAGTCTCAAAAAATAAAATAGGAGCTGGAGAGATGGCTCAGTGGTTAAGAGTGCTTAGTACTTTTGCAGAGGACCTGAGTTCAGATCTCAGCACACACATGATAACTCACGGCCACCTATAACACTAATTTCAGGTGATCTGATGCCCTCTTCTTATCTCTGTGGGTCCCTGTGTGCATGGGCTATGGTGCACATATATACACTCCTGTGCATACTCATAAAATACTTAAGGACATATTTTAAGATACAATAAAAAAAACAAAAGCAAACAAAAAGGAGGCTGATATTAAATAAGACTCATTTATAATAGGGACACGAATAATGATCTCAGACAACAAAATAGCTCCATGTTGCCTGGTCCAGGGGTACAGCTTGTTCCAGTTTGCCTCTGGGTACAGTGGAGTGCAGTGAAGGGGCTGAGTGGACATGGGCTCCCAGCCAGGGAAACACCAAGGTTCTAGAGTCCTCAGCAGGTGCAAGGACCCACTTGGTTTCTGCTTCCCGGAAAGCCACATGTAAAGGGTCCCATCTCTGCTTCAGAGAGGAAGAGCTCCCCCAGCTGGTGGAGGGAAGCAAAACCACAATAAAATAAAATGGCCTTAAGAAAGGTCACAGGAGTCTAGCCAGAGCCAGGGGTACTCCATGTAAATGAGGGCAACATGTTTCTGCTGAACCAGACCTTGCCATGTAATTTGTTCTGGGCCTCTTGTTACTCCAAAGCATTTGCTGGCTAGTTTTGTGTTCTCTCAAACTCTTTGCTGGAGAGTATTTTCTGAAGTCCATAGAGTTCCGCTGCAGCATTTAATGAGTATTGGTTCAGGAATGAGGCTCTGTCAGCATAAGCTTGTGTGTACTTTCACTGAGTGTCACCCAGTGAAGCAGAGGAGAAGTGAACATTGTCACCTGGGGCAGGAGACTTGGACTGTGTCACTGGGGAGCTCTGGCTCCTGTTCATGCTGGGGAAATTAAAGGACATCAAAGGGATTTATTTCATTGTTTTCATGCCTGCGCAGGGTTGTGGGAGGGTCAGGAAATTTTAGGCATTGTGGTGACCCAAAAGAAGACATTTTAGCAGTACTGGAATTTTGAGTTCTTTTATTTTGTTTTTCTAATAGTTTCCTCAGAACAATCTTGTTAGGTTTTTAGAAGTCACTCAAGATAGAAAAATCATTATATTGAGGAGAAAAGAAAATAGCCTGAGACAATCTACGGCTCACATTCAAATAGACCTTCTCTCAACACTATGAGTGACTCGAATTTTGATGGGGTGCCTGCAATCCAGGTGTTGTTTCAGACTAAGGGGTTAAGTTAATTAGCAGTACTCAAATTATATAATAAAACCGGAACTAATCAAGAAATCAAAGCATGTGTGAAAGAGGGGTGTGTGGCAATAAGATTCTTCTTGGCCATTTTTTTTGAATGTGTAATTTTTCTTTAAATGCCCTTTGGGTATTTGCTCCTGGGGAAGAAGATAGAATAGCAACCAGTCTACAAACCTGAGAAACAGTCAGGAAGGTCAGGGGTGTGTGGGTGACTGTTCTGAAGCATTAACGTACATGGCAGCATGTCCTTCTAGAGCCTAACATCCACTCTCTGCTTCTTTCCAGCACATGTACAATTTTTTGGCCCAGCCCAACACCATTGTTCACCTGGATCTATCTAATACAGAGTGCTCTCTGGACATGGTAACACCTCTTTCTACCACTCGGGCTCTCACAATGCCTACTTTGATGGGTGGAGACCTACTACTTTAGTAAAATATTCTCACAGACCTAGGATTGTGTGAAAGTGATAATGTCCATTTCTTCCTCAGGTGTGTAGTGCTCTTCTCCGGGGGTGCCTTCAGTGTCTAGCTGTGCTCAACCTCTCCAGATCTGTCTTCTCTCACAGGTATGACTGTCTCCCCGCTACCATTACTGTCTTACAGTCCCTCCTTATCTTGAAGAGGTGTGAGGATAGTGAACACAGAGTGATTGATGGAAAGAGAATGTGTAGTTGTTTGAGATAGAGTCTCACATTATAGCCTGGCTTCAAACTCATCCCAATTTTCCTGCCTTGGCCTCCCAAGAGCCTGGATTACAGGTTTTTAGACCATCATACCTGGTTTGAGAGCTAAATGTCATAAATGAAAGATGGTCTTAAATCATAGCTATAAGTTTTTGGGCCTTGAAAATTAAAGATTTTTTTTTTGTTGGTGTTTTATCTTTTGAAAACACAAGGGTCTTGTTGATAATGTTAGCCTGCTTATATGAACTGTGTGTGTGTGTGTGTGTGTGTGTGTGTGTGTGTGTGTGTGTATTCATATATGTGGGCATGTACTTTCTTAATATAGTAAAACCCTTTTAAAAATATCTATAGCTTCTTCTCAGTGACGAGGTTAGAAGTAAATATGAACGACTTCTGGCAACAAAGAATAATGGTCACCCTGAAGCTTCTGTTTGTGATTTGTAGGAGGGGAGGGCTAATTATGTCATCTCAGTTACAGACTTAACACCTGCTGACACAGTGCATTTGGAGCAGCAAGGATTTGTAAATATCGGCCACTTTGCATGGAGTGGGTGATGAAAAAAGCTTGGGCCTCCCAAGTGCAGCATCCATAGCTATTCAGTGCATTAGTCTGGTTCAACCCTACTGTGCAGGATCAAAAACACATAGCATCAATTGTATTTTGCACATTATGCTCTTTAATGATCTGTGACGCTGCCTAATAGTAGAGCATTCTCCAGATTTACTAGTTAATCTTTTAAAAGCCTTATACATTCAAGAGAATAACTTGATTCATTTGGAATATTCAATTTGATGGCATGCTTTACTCTATACCTTACCTTGCAAATATATCAATATATATTTCCAAATACTTTGGGTCCATTATTTGAGAGTGATATAGACATTTCCCATATGGTGGCACATGCCCATAATCCTACATGGTAGAGGCAGGAGAGTTGGGAGTTCAAGGTGTTACTCAAGTCACATGGTGAGTTTGAGAACATCCTAGACTAAATAGGACTCTGTCTTAACAAATAGAGAGGAAGAGATGAGCCTTTACAGACCAAAAATATGCTTCCAGTTCCTCAATAGAGTGTTGTTACAGAATGTCAAAAGTCTGGGAGACAGCATGGTAGAGCGTGTTCAGCCAGGTTGTCCTGTCTTATATGTTTAGAGGCAGGTCACGAAGCCTCACTTTGACAGAGCTGTAATTGACTGAGGAACTGAATTACAGGGTGACAGCTCTGCTTATAAAGGTTTTTGTATAATCAGCTCTTTTGAGCTCAGTTGCTGTGAATTCTGCCACGACTGGTCTTCAGTGGCACTGTTCTTTGAGTGTAGCAGAATGGTGTAACCCATTGCCCTGTCATCCCGATGAAAGATTATGATTAAATTGTTAATACTCAGTACCTTGCTTTGATAGAGTTCTGGAAAGCATGCGGTAATTCTGTTAGAATTAGCCAGTTTATACTGAGGCATAGATTGTTAGCCAGTCTAGTTAGCTTTTATTCACAAATGATTTCATAGTTGTACCAATCAGGAGAGTCTGGGTAGTTCCAAGTGTCCCATGTGGGCTGACCATGTCACCTTCAGCCTGGGAGGAAGGAAGCATCCTTTATCTGGAAGATGTAACAGAGGACAAGATGAGGCTGGCAGTGTGTGTCCTGGCTCAGAAAGCTGCTTTCTGGGAGTCACATCATGTCCCTTCACATTCCATTGGTCACGGAGGCCCACAGGGCCAAGCCACCTGTCCCTGGAGTAGTAACAGGAACATTGTCTCTTATACTAGACAATGTTCAAAAACAAAAAAACCCTCCAAAGCAGAGGATCAGGAATAGAAGGATTTCAAAACAGCAATGTAAATAGCATTCACTTACCAAAAAATAAACAGGACTGACTATACAATCTGACAGGCTTCACCATTTGGAAACAGCTCTGAAATATCTAATGTCATGTCTCTGACCAGAGTCCTGCTTATTCCTAGTTGCCTTTTTCTCTTCTCAGGTAAAGATTTCCATGACTTACATTTTCCTTCCCAAATAGCTGGAGGTTGTCATATTTTAAGACATTGCTTTTAAAGCTCTCAGGCATCACAGGTTTTTAAAGACATCTGTACATCCAAATGCTGTTGCAGGTTATGTGGCTGACCTAGACCCCTGAGGTGCCTGCTGCCCTCTGTATGCCATCATCTAAGTGACATCATGGGCTTCAGCTAAGTGCTTCATGCTGCTGAGCCAGTCCCAACTCCCAGAGAAAGGAGCAAGCTAAGCCAGCAAACTCACTGTGGGTGCTTGAAGCCTGTACCTTTACAAACCATTATAGTACAGGTTTGACCCAGCAGTGCAGCTTTATCCATTTTTGACTGACATAACAAGAGGAAACATTATCCAGCCACTTCACTTTCTCCTTTGTCTTTTTTCTCATGTTTGGCCTGAAATGATTAGGTTTACAGTGTGAATGTAGTAGACAAATGGGCTATTAGTCATGCAGGCTTGAAGCCATTTAGTGTGCTGTTCCTCAGATCCACATCAGGTTATCATCTCATTGAGTCTGCCTGTTGGCCAGCATTGGGTCCATAGTACGATGACTTCAAAACAAAACTGACTGTGGTGGTATATTCCTGTCATCCCAGCACTTGGGAGGAACAGACAGTAGGCTGAGGAGTTTGGGGTTATCTTTAGCTATATAGTGAATTTAAGAGCAGCCTGCATTGCATAAGACTGTCTCAAAAAACAGAACTGGATCTATGGCTCAGTGGTAGAGCACTTGCCTCTAGTGAATGGAGTCATCAGTTCAGTCTCCAGTACTGTCAAAGACCAAGAGGCAAACACAAATGAACTGTCACTGAGCACACTGCCCAATGCAGTGTCAGCCTGTACCACAGATGTCACCCAGTGGCAAAGGTCTCAACCTTCATGAATAACACATGATTCCAACCTCCTATTTTAATGTTTCGTGAGGATCAGTGGGCTAGAATACAGTGAGTTTACTAGATACCAAGAATAGATATAGTTTTGTGGGTTAGCATTTAGACTGATTTTGTGGATCTCACGTCTGCATACCCACCCAATAAGCAGGATGGATAGAATGTAACCACTCATGTGATGCTTGTGTTATGTTTGTTTGTTACCTTTTTTTTTTTTCCAGGAAAGGAAAGGAAGTCCCCCTGTCTTTCAAGCAGTTTTTCAGCAGTTCTATGGCTTTGATGCAAATCAATCTTTCAGGCACGAAACTGTCTCCTGAGCCCTTGAAGTGAGTGATCCATTTGTCGTCTCTAGAGCTTTTAAAGTTACATTTGTGACTGTGAATGTGCTGGAAGGAAGGAAGGCAGAACAGGCCTTCCTATTTACTTGCAGGTAAATAGGGCACAATGGATGTTGCTGTATCTCCTATTACAGTCTTCCTGTGGCTTTTGGTCTTCTGTAAAAGCTGTCCCATAAAAGTTGTGTCCCAGGCATGTGTAGAAATAGCACAGTAAAGTCCATTTATGTGTAGTTAGTGTGAATCTTGGATAGTATCCCAAGTATCTTTTTAAACATCTGTCCAGTCCATTTTGGACATATTCTTCTGTGTGTGTCTTAGCCAATGTTTGGCTATTTCTGCAACTACTAATAGTCAGATTTACTATATATCCCATCTATACAAGGACATCAATTTGTAGCAAGGTAGTTACAGAGGTAGAATAGGCGTTGTTTGGCTGGTGAGGTGGCTCAGCAGGAGTAAGCTCTTGCCACACAATCCTCACAACCTGAACTTCAACCCCAGAACCCATGTAAAGGTACAAGGGGAAAACAGACGCCCAAATGTTGTCCTTTGACTGCCATATATGTTTTGTGACATACTCACATGTATGTGAATGGAAAGAGAGAACTGACTACGCTCACTTTGCCACATGTCTGCACACACACACACACACACACACACACACACACACACACACACACCCTTGTGATTTGATTGCTGGTAGCTTGAAACAGCTGTCAGCATTAGTATTCTACAGATATTCTTTTATACTTTAATCATATTGTTGGCATACTCATTCAGCAAATATTTATTTTAGACCTACCACATGCTTAGTCCTCTTTGCTCATAGAGTAGATTAGGAGACTAGCACTTTCAGGATGGTTTTGGTGTGACCAATGTTTAAATATGACATAGCTGTCTATTGGCTATTGTGGAGTTCTCACTGTGTGTGCAAGACCTGCGAATTGCTGGTGGGACAAACTATCAAGAACCTAGCATGAAATAATCCCTTTTGTCTTGCATTCCTTTTGCCCTCTCATTCTTTGGGGTTAGAGGTCCTTTCCCTGGGGGGAAGGTCCTTTCTCTAAGATCACTGGGAACAGGTGTCACTCCAAGTAGGAAATGTGTAGTAGGAGATGTTTAGTGTGTACACTGTCTGCTTTGTGTCCTAGTCAGTTTCACATTTGTCTGTTTCCTTCCTGCTGCCCACCTTTGAGTTCATCATGAAGTCCGATTGAGGACTTCTTTTCATTTTATGCAAATTGTTTTTAAATCGATTTTTCTCCTCTTGCTTTTATAATTGTCTACTTAGTGTGTGTATGTGTGTGCATGAGTGTACCATGGTACATGTGTGGAGGTCAGAGGACAACTTGTAGGAATTGGATCTGTCAATCATTGGAGTGACCGAGACTGAACTCATGTCATCGGGCCTGGTAGCAAGTGCCTTACCACCGAGCCTCCATTCTGTAGAATTTAAGAGCCTCTGGTGCACATGGAGATCCAGGTGTGCTCAACTGCATTGGACTTCACAGGACTGACTTGTAGCAGTGGGAGCAATCCACTTTTTTGAGAGTTTTGATATCTGCACAATGATGAATCCAATTCCCTCAATTTGCAGAAGAGAGATAGCATCTGCCCTGTCCTGCAGGTAACTGGACTGCCAGGATCCTGGACACAGCTAGAAGACATGTATCTCCTTAGCTCTGGGGTGTCTGTATCTTCACCTGCACATTCTGTGAGGTGACTTAATAAACTCATCTAGCTCTCATTTCACCCTCTGGAATACTGTGGGGCTAGACTCCTTCACTGTCTATTCCTTAGAGAAAGCCAGCCTCACTGTGCTATGCTAATAACAATCACCTAATAATATTCTAATGATTCTTAAAGCTGTTCTCAAGCAGATGCAGGTGGGGCTTTATCTACGGTGAACACAATTTGATTTCAGTATGCAATTAGGTGGGCTGTGGGTTTATTTGCATAGGAATAGCTGTGCTTCCAAGGCTTGCATTTATGAAGGAGTCACCTCCTGTCAGACAGAAGAATGCAGACGTGTCACGTGCCCACTGTTGTCAGAAACAGAATGCAGTTGGCATTTTCAAAAAGTAAGAGGGTGCTTGGTATTTGACCTGTGTTTCAGAAAGTGTGTTCATTTTCCAGGCTTTATTCAGTGTGTTTGCTGTGTGTAGTGTGTGTGTGTGTGTGTGTGTGTGTGTGTGTGTGTGTGTGTGTGTGTGTGTGCTTTGCGTATGGGTGAGAGTGTGCTGGTGTGCATATTGCTGTTCATCATATGAAGTTGTGCCTAGTATATCTGTTTCCTTTCCTCAGAGCACTGCTCTTGGGCCTGGCCTGCAATCATAGCTTGAAGGGGGTCTCTTTGGATCTCAGCAACTGTGAGGTAAGACCACCCTTATAGCACACTGGAATAGATAACAGCCTCAAAATTGTTTTTGAATTCTTCCCAGGAAAGTGAGATATTGTGGGTCCATAGGGAGAAGTGAAGCAGAAAAACACATTATGCAAGTTTCACATGTTCTGTGTCTTGCAATTTTATCTACAAGTCACCACAGAACACCTCTCCAATTATATCAGAAGATGCTTTTAATGACTTTCCCCACATTCTTAGTGCCTGTAGCCTGAGTGTTTCATGATGAATCCCCATGATACAAAGCCATAAAGTAGCTTCACCATCCTGAAATACAGTGCACCACATTGCTTTTAGGGGACGAATGTGTAGAGCTGAACTTGGATTTGTAGGATGTAAAGCAGAATGGCTATTTTTTTTTATTAACTCTTTTTAACATCTTAGCTTAAGACAAGAGCATTAAAACATCTCTTGAAATTATACAGCAGCTCTTAACACTTCCAGTTAAGGAGCCCTCAAAGAAGAGCTGAGACTAAAGGTCTGTGTGTGTTAGAGGACACTTAGGCTCTCCTCATCTGGAAACTGTCAGTTCATGTGGAGATTAGCAAGAGAATTCCAGCTGCAGACACAGTTCTGAGCCTGGCTTTGCCCAGAGTGTCCTCCCCATCCCTTCTTCCCAGGCTGTTAGCATTCATATTTGTGCCTTTAGACTGACTGTGCTGTGGTCCCCGCTAGCCTTCCTCCTCAAGGCCACCCTCTTTGAGGACCTTAATCAAGGCCAGTCTTCCTTATAAGTCCCATCAGACTGTGTCATCCTAGGTGGATGGGCTGATGTGTTAGTTGCTCTGCTCATTTCTGTGACAAATACCCAACAAAGGGAACTTAAGGAAGGCAGGTTTTTCTTGGCTCACTGTTCAAGGCTGCAGTCCATCGTCTCAGGAAGTCATGGAGTAGAGAACCAAGCAGCCATGACACTGCATAGCCAGGAAGCAGAGAGCAATGGATTCCAGTGCTTTTTGTTTTATCTTTATTATTATTATTATTATTATTATTATTATTATTATTATTATTAAATGCAGGACCTCCAATTCGTAGGCCGGTTCTGCTTACATCATGTGGGACTTTTTCTGGGAATGCCCCCACAGGCATGCCCAGGAGTGTGCCTCCTAGGTGGGTTGATGGTGTAGATGAGCCGTCGCTGATGACATCACTGAATCTCTGTGTTTGTGTGAGATAGAAGTATTAGTGTTCCTCTAGGAAGATGTCACAAGATCTGAAGGAGCTCTATTTGGAAAAGTACCTTAAGTCATCCTCTGTGGTTGTGTTCCTGTCTGTCCCACTGCCTCTCTTTCCTTCATTTAATTTTAGTGTGAAGGTCACTTTTGTGACCTATTAATCTTATTGTGTTGGAAAAGCAAAACTCCTCAAAAGCTAAAAACCAAAAAACCTCTAGAATATTCATTTTGAGTAATGGAACTGTAAATGTAATCATTGGTCCTCTCATTATAAAGATATACATGAAGCAGAAACCAACTCTAGAAATATGAACATTTTGCTCATTAGCATTTTGCTAAGGGTCTGCCAGTAATAAAAACCATTTATCATGGGAATGGGGTCTGCTAAGAGTCATTCTCTAAGGAACAGGAAGTTGGTGAGAATACCGTGACCAAACACCAGCCAAACCACATTAGCTGTGACTCAGCTGGGGCTTTTTCAGCCTGATGAGACACTCTGTCACATGATCAAGCTGTGACAGGCGTGAGTGATCTGTTGGCCTCATGTACAGATGAGGAAATGGTGAAGTCTAAAAGTATTTGAAGCAGTCTGGCTCTCTGATGGCACTCTGTTAATACCAGCATTGACTATCATTAGAACATTAAATATGATTAGACATGTTCTTATTAGCAGTTTGAGACAGGACTTGTTCAAAGGCTATCAGGTAGACCTGGTTTAAAACTTGTTCTTAAATCTCTTGAAAATCTTTTGAAGGTCATACTAGATGAACCTTGTAAAATATTTCGGTAGGTTTAAGATGTCAGGCAGTCCAGGCATGGTGGTATACCCCTGGAATCCAAACATTAGGAAACTGGAGGATGAATTTGAGGGCAAGGGCAGCACAGCAGTTTCTATGGGCATTTTTGTGAAAGTCAATCTAACTACCAATACTCCTTTGTACTTATAGTTTTCTTTTGTAGTTTTCCCATGAAGATGGGAATCCAGGTCAAATGATTGATTTTGACAATGGAATTGACCATTATTATTATGATAATTTTACTTTTAATTTGGGTCTTTCATTTATGGGTTATAGGAACATTTACAATGCTTAGAAAGCAAGCCTTAGAGGTATCATAGCTCTATGTTTATACACTTTTATAGCTGAAGTTGCAGGGCCAGTGACCAAGCTTCCTGGTTTTGTGTTACATAGCTGCTCATCAAAATTGGTGCAGCACAAACTTATTTTTCTATGCTTTTCCAGTATTTTGTTCCATACTTGCTTCTTAAGGTTGGATGTCTAAATGTAAATGATTATCTTCAGGACATAGTCCACCTCCCAAAAGGTATTTGGAGTTCAAAGATAACCCATGTTGGGACACTTGCTGTTTTGTGGGTTTAACCATCAGTCCCCGGGTTGGTTACTTAGACTTTATGCATTGCTCTCAGAAGGAAACCTGCCTTAATGTAGAAATAGTCTTTTGCTATTAATTCTCTGTTTCTCCATCTTAGATGCAGCTTCCTTTGATCTTACTGTGCTAGTCAAAATCATGGAAGAATTCCACACTTAATTTTCTCCCCATGATCAGATAAATACAATTTTAATATATGTGCTGCTGAAACAAGCATCTTAAATACAATTTTTAAAACAAGTTTGAAAGATATGTTAAATTTTTGAGAGACAGGGTTATCATAGCCAAGGATAACCTTGAACGGCCAATCCCAAGGATTGGGACTGCCGTCTTGTAGTATCACACCTATGTCCCTATTAGATATATGCTTAAATGTTAGATTTGACTTTGCACTTGGAAGCATATCATCTATAGTGTTCTACCTCCCTACGAGGACACAATCATGAATGAAATGAAATGAAATTGTTCAGTGATGCAGTAACACTTAACGGCTCTATGATTTTCCTTTTTTTATTTTTTTGAGATAGTATCTTACACATCCCTGGCTATCTAGGGACTCTCCATGTAAACCAGGTATCTGGCCTCAAATCTGTAGCAATCCCTGGGCCACAAATGTTGAAATTGCAGGTGTGTACCACCACACTGGCTCCATTCTGCTTTTTTCCCCTTATCTGTTGGTTATTATTTGAATCAAGGTCTCTCTCCCTGACTAGAATTCACCAGGTAGCACAGTCTGGCTTCAAACCCAATGCCTTCCTTCAGTAAGCTCCTGAGTGTGGGATTATAAATGTACTGCCAGCCACTGCCATACCCAGCTCAATCTTGCTTTCTTTTAAGTAATGCTAGCGTGGGGGATGCAAATGAGCATGATTTTAAAACCAGTTTTATATTCACATATGCATGCATGGCTCTAACTATGCAAATTCATTTAAAAGGATTTTCATTTACAGCAATGGAACGGCTTTTACTGTTTTGGGAAAGAGTTAGCTTTAAGGGAATTTGAGGCACCTAATAACTTATAAATGTAATTTAATACTCTTGGTACTGAAGATGAGTATTTAAATTTTTGGATTGTATTTGGAAGCACCTCCTATTTGGAAGTGTTTCTTGGACTTGACTCTGTTGACATTTCAGCTTTGCCTTCATTCTTGTTCTGCTGCTGCTTCTAATGCTTTTTGTCTTTTCCCTCCTTTGCTCCCCTAAGCTTGGCCACTGTGTAAGTACTTCATGCATCAATAACTTAAGAGTGTTCAACCATTTCATTGTTTTTTAATGAAACAATTTAAATGTTGAAAAACATACTAGTTTTGTGCGTCTATGCTTCAAATAAGACCCTAAAAATAGTTACAAAATGAGCAGAATTGATCACTATATATCATTTGCATTTTCTGTTTCTGTGAATGGAATATATCTTTTACTGTACCAATAGTGATAGAGTGTAGGAATTTTCTTGTACAATTTTATTTCTCTATAGGAGCCATTGTCAGCACATAACCTACCAGAAAGACTTATTAAATTGGTCCCCCTTTCATGCTCTGAATATCATGTTGTGTTTCTTGAGCTGTTTGAATGGCTTCTTCCTTAGCTTTGGCGTTGTGACTAGAGCAATGCATCTCAAGAGCTATTCATGGTAAAGAATCAGCTTTTTCTGTTTACTTTTAATGTTGGCAGTCTCAAAGTAACAATTTTTAGAAACATACTTAGAATTAATTCCTAGAAATAGCTATAAAGATAAAATATACAAGCCCTCCATTTTTATTGTTTATGTGCAATAGGCCTATAGTTGCTAATACGGTCTTTCTGAGGAATTTATGTTTAATTTCTGTGGTTCTGCTTCTTCCTTGTGATTGTTGGCTGCATTGGTCCATGAGGGTCCATTGGATCAGATGGCTATGGGTACAATGGAGAAAGCCCCCTGAGAGCCCCCTAATGACTTCGATGAATTAGCTCAACTTTATTCCAGAATACAAGGAATATATAGGATTGGGAAGTCTGTGAACAAACTCTAATTTGCATTAAGTGACTTGCTCCTATCATAAGGCTTCAAATGTGGCAGCAGGGTCCTATAGCAAAGCTCCTAGCACAAGTCTTAGTTACCATATGTGCAGCAGGAGAGGCTTCTAGCAGGGAACTGTGCCAAGGGTCACCCTAGAGATAAATGAGGCATCCAGGCTTAGAGACAGCTTTCAGATAAGGTCAGTCCACTAGATAAGGGCAGGTAGAAAGCAGGAAGTGTCACTGTCGGGGAGGAAGTCCCCATGTTGCAGAGCTTAGGAAAAAGCTGTCAGGCCATGGTAGACTGCAACCTCTGACCAGCCAGCAAGGCCTCCCAACAAATTTCAACCTTACTCTAGACCAGAAACACACTGTTTATAGATGGGTATGAGCCTGTGGGTGGCTCTTGGAATGGCATAGTTCTGGGAGCCTTTAGAGCTAGCTGCCAATGAGGAATGAAGAGATGGCTCAGTGGTTAAGCAACCCTGTAGCTCTTGGGGGATTAGAGGCCCTCTTCTGGTCCCTGAGGGTACCTAAGTGTTCTTGCGCACACATACATCGTTTAAAAAATTAAAATAAAAACTAAAACTCCTTAAAACTTTATGTTGGGAAACAAACAAGGTTTGTATAGAGTTTCCATGGTGAGACAGGCTTGACAGGTGTTGGGGTAAAGCTGAAGAATTCCAGAAAATAACTAGCTAAGTGCAGCAGTTCCTCAGCAGCTTTGGAATCTGCATCTGAGAGACTGTGGGTTCAGAATATTTGGGGAAAATGATGCCTAAACTGAAAAGATACAGGCTGTTCTCCTTGTCACCAGTCCTTAAACAGGACTGCACAGAAACTCTTCACATGGCATTGTTCAGGGTTGAGAGTTAGAAGTAACGTGGAAGAGAGTTAATACCTACGAGGAACATGAGTACCTCACATGCAGCTCCTCCATGGTCTGTGTGTAATGGATTGGATCATGCTGGATTGTGGTACCTTTGGGAGTCCTTGGAACCAACCCTTCTCTGTGGACATGGTCACTGGAGAGTGAGAGGAACTAGGCAAACTCTTTCCTGTTGGACTGGTCTTTGTTCCCTGGGAGTAGGCAGATCAGCCCCTTTGATTGGTCTCCCTCTAAGTGACTCTCATCCAAGGCACCTGACAGCATTTTGCTATTATCTTAAAAAGTAAGTGGAATTTTCCTAAGTATTTCTGGACAAAACAGTGACCCCAGAGATTTGTGCTTAACACACAGGAATGTGCAACAGACTTTGGAGATTAGCTGCAAGACATTCTTGAACTATTGCATATGAAATAAGAAATGAGGTTCTTTAAATTTCTGTATCAATTTGAAAAAGTAGAAAATGGTATTCCGTAAGTTTAGTGTAGAAAGTTATATAAACACTATAAAAATGTTTTATGTCCCTGAATGGGTTCCTCATAAATAACAACTGGTCTTCTCCAGTTGATAGTAAGTTTTCGGATGAGGAAGGACTATGGGTACTTTGCATCCTGTAATCATAGTAGTCAAGTGTTGTCAGAGAATTAAAAAGATGTGAGCCCCTCATACTTGCTTTGAGTTCATAGGGAAAGATTGAGGGCTGGGAAGCATATCTCCCATGGCTGCCTTGCTCCCTGGGATGATGAATCAAACCTTGGAAGCAGAAGCAATGACTTGAAACACTCAAGTTCTAGTGTCTGAAGGGATTTGCTTGGTTTACAGCATTTGAACAGAAGTTCTTGTATACTGGTGTACATTGCCTTTTTGTTGTTGTTGTTGTTTTGGTTTTTGGTGCTGGAGATTGAGCCCAGAGACTTGAGCATTTGAGATGAGCTACGATCTCCAACCTTCCGCTGAGTAAAGTTGACCTATGTGTCTCCACCTTTCCCCACTCTTATTTTCCTAAGAACTTTAGGTTTTAACATTAGATCATGTGGTGTAGCAAACAGTATCATTCTCTTACGATTGTTAATAACATCCTCCCTTCATTTGGAGTTGATATACATTTGGTTTTTGATGGCTTATTTTAAGACATTCTGTTAGGGATTTTTCAGTCTCTCCTGCAGCAGGAAGAGCACTTTACCTCGTGTTTGGTCTTTTTCTCTAGCTGAGGTCAGCAGGAGCTCAAGTGCTAGAAGGCTGCATTGCTGAAATCCAGAACATCATCAGCTTAGATATCTCTGACAACGGTAAGACACAAAAGAAACAAAAACGCTATGGGAACAAGCAAGGAAGGGGAAAATGGCACACTAGTCACAGGCCAAGATGCAAATTCTAAAACAAGTCATACAATATCCTCTATCCTGTGGTAAAAGATCTGAGTCCAGCATTTTTAACTTCTTGGTAGTCATAAAAATGTTTACTTAGTTTGCTGTATTTCTGCTGGTTTAGTGAGTGTCCTGATCCTGTTAAATTTGCATAGAAAGCTGTATAACAAGTTACCTAACAGTGAGAGTATAGTGGGAGAGGGGAAACTGACAATATGATTTCTGGATCCTGATGACTTTGCATGGACACGGACCATAGAGGAGGCTTAGGTAAATCCTTGAAGAAAATGAGTTCACCTCTGTGAACTCCTAGGACATGGTAAAAGGGCAAAGAGCTCCTCTAAGAATAAAAACTGAGGGTCATGGGGCACCAAGCTCAGCACAGGCATGACTTCACTTCTCTACTTGTGTTTTGATGCTGTCTTTACTCTTCTTTCCAGGTTTAGAATCCGACCTATCTACCCTAATTGTGTGGCTCAGTAAAAACAGATCAATACAGCACCTGGCATTAGGCAAAAATTTTAATAATATGAAATCCAAGTAAGAGTTTTGAATTTTTATATGATAATGATGAAAATAACCAGCCTCCTGACAGCTTTTGATTTGATTCCACTGTCTATGTCTTTAAAATCTCTTTAGAAATCTGACGCCTGTGTTGGACAACTTAGTGCAGATGATCCAAGACGAAGACTCTGTGAGTATCCGATGACACACTTTACTCTCTGTGATTGTTTCTATTGGACTGATGCTGATGCACTTTCAGATAATTCATGATTTAGATTTTATCGGTCTTTAAAAAAATAGAATATGCCACCGAGTGTTGGTGATGCATGCCTTTAATCCCAGCACTTGAGAGGCAGAGGCAGGCGGATCTCTGTGAGTTCAAGCCCAGCCTGGTCTCCAGAGCGAGTGCCAGGATAGGCTCCAAAGCTACACAGAGAAATCCTGTCTCAAAAAACAAAAACAAAACAAAAAAAAAGAATATGCCTTAGTGGAGTTTTGAGTATATTCAAAATTCTATTCTCCCATTCATCAGAAAGATTAAAAACTAAGAACTTTTGAAAACATTTATCACCATGATCATCATCAATGTGTATTCTGCATGTGTGAATGTGCATGCATGTGTGTACCAATTCAGAAGTAACACTGCGCACGTCTGGAGGTCAGAGGGTGACTCATAGGAGTTAGTTTTCCTCTTCTACTATGTGGTTCTTAGGGATTTTAGGTTGTGAGGCTTGGCAGCAGGACTTTCACCCACTGGGCATTTCACTGACCCAAATTAAGAGGTTGCCAAGGTGTAAATTAACTCTTAAGCCTATCTGCATCCTAACCAGCTAATACACCAGTCTTCAGATTATCTAGCTGGTTGTTTTACCATGAATTATTTGAAGTAACATCATGTTTTCAATTTGAACTTCATCTAGTAATTATACAAAATTTCAGATACTAGGGAAGTTTCTTCTCATCTTAAGTGGTTGCTTGGACTCGATAGTCATCTTCCTTATATTTTTATGCCTTTTTAGTTGCTTCTGAGCAAGACTTAGATCAAAGTGAAGGTGTTTCAGTTCAAATAGAATTCTGTTGTGCATGAGAAAAGGAAGCTATTTAACAGACAAAGTAGAAGACCTGTCATGAATTCATTCAATTGAGAGTGGTGTGTCTTATGTTACAATTTCTTGATGCTCCTTAAGACTTTATCCTTTTCAGAGGATAAAGTCATGAAACAGTTTCTAAAATTCAAATACTTGTTGCCATTATTAAGAGCCACACTGTGAGTTGTAGGGTAATTTCTTACATGTATCAGGTGAAATATGTCACATTTTGAAAAATATCATTTCCACTTTTGAACTTCTACCAAGAAATGATAGAATATTCTATGGCATCTGTAAGCTGACTTCCCTAAGGCAGCTATGGGGCTGTGGGTTCTGCTACACTAGATCTCTCTTCACCTAAGATGTGAAAATTCTGTCTTCTTGATATTCTCACATGTATCTGTAATCTCTAACCTATGCTAAACACTCAATTATTCAATGGATTCTGCTGATTTTCTGTGTCCTTGTCTGCTAATAACGTCATTATTTTGCTCCCCTTCTATTAGATTAGTAAAGTCAAGGGTAAAATTGGAGTGTAATTCTAATTTCATACATTTAATTTGAATTTGTACCACTCTGTTTTACTAACATTTCAGATTTTCTGAGATTGGCCCAATTTAAAAAGATTTGGGAACTCAAATTTACAAAATCATACTTAGTATTAATCCCCAAATATGTGCCTTAGTAAATATTATAAGAAGTTCTTAAGTTTATGAAGGTTGTATATATTTCAAGTTCTGGTTATTGCTTAATGGTCTTCAAATTGTTTTTGTAGTTTTAGAGTTTCTTACTTAAAGAAAATTTCTATATTTAAAAATGCACGAGAAAACACATTTGCAGATGACACATTGGCTATGTAAATGTGAATTCTGCCGAGTTACAAGTTTGATTAGCATGTTGATAATAATTTTATGATGAATAGCTTTTTTATTTTTGTGTCACCGAAATGATGTGGGGTTTTCAAAAGACAATTATCACCCACTTTTTCTTTTACTTAGGAATCTGTAATATGCAAATCCCTCTAAAGTGATTAGGAGTTGAGCCTCATGCATTAAAAAATTTCACAGAAAACCGATTCCTTTGGGCCAAGTTTTGGTTTTGCTTAAGTAAGAGCTGGGCATTTAGAAGTAATCTTCTCCTTTGACACTTTGCCCTCTGTGGAACACGTTCCTTGGCAGCCCATCTAATATCTCAGTCATCCAGAACTGTACATGATACTCAATGGGGAAACCCAGATTCCTGAGAATTCCAGTATGATTTTCCACTGTAGGTGATGGCAGCTGCATCCAGATTCATAAGATGGTGACAGTGAGTGACCAACAAGGCAGAGAATCTTTTCTGAAGGATTACAGAGAAACCCATGTTGTAAGCCACAAAATAGGATGAGTCTCCCCTAGGAGGGCCTACAACCTGGAGCCTGTGTCTAGATTCAGCATTAAGCATTCAGGTAGTACGGCTGTATAGAAGTGCCATGAATTGGAAGAACTGACCTTATAAATATGTATGTACTTCAGGCTCTCCTGTTGCCATTGTGGGTCTACCCATTTTTCTTAAGTATTAATTGGGGTGCATTAGAATTTGAATGTTGTGATGGAATAATAATTTGATAGCTTTTTGATCTGGAAGTTTCCTAATATCAGAAAGAAGCCATGGCAGATCATTTTTGTAGTGGTGGAATAGAGAGTGCAGAAAGGGGGGAGATGTGGTTACCTGTTTCCGTAAAGTGGTGTTGCATATGTGTTTTTTGTTCACAACATTAGGTTGCCCAAGTCTGAGAATTTTTCATTGTTTTCCATTTATCTGAATGTAAGATATTAAGAACACTGTAGTCCCTTAGCTTTTTGGCTGAGATGTCATTTCATTGTCTTAGCCACTACCAGTCCCCTTCACTTGAATAGGTTTGATTCTGAATGCTGTGCCATTGCCTTCTGATTTGTCCTGGGCTGAGTCTGAGCAGCAGCATTTCATTTGGATGTCAAGGATGATGGTGTAGTCACTGAGTCTAAACAAGTCACATGATATTTGTGAAGATATTTGAATATTATATTTTTTTATCCCACTCCTTTGAAACTGGGTCCCATGTAGTACAGTCTTGCCTTGATTTATCCTTCTGCCTCTACCTCCCAAGTGCTAGATCACAGGTGGGAGCCATCATGCCTGACTGATGTCTAAATTTTAACTCCACCCCCCTCATCCTGTCCCTTGTAATTCATTGAGAGAGACCTTTTTCTTTTATACACATTGGTGCATGACCATGGGCCTGGTGAAGCAGGCATAGGTAGATCTTATGTTGTGTTTGCTTGTTGTCATAGAAATCAATCAGATTCATGCTGTGCCCTAATTTCATAGGCCACTAAGAGAAACCTTAGAATCTTCTAGCCATTCACCTGCCTGGGATGTCAGAGCTGCTTACATTAATGGGGCTAGAGTAAATCACTCCACATCATCCAGAAGACGTCCTCATTCCCCGGGTCTGAATTAGGAGTTTTAATGCCTTGGTGATTCATGCCCTGGGATTCATCCCATTTCACTAAGCTATACCTTGCACCAAGTTTTGCAAACGCAGATGCCCACAGGTCTAGGGAGACAGTAGAGCAGGTTGAGTGATCTGGGCACAAGGAAGAAGCCCTGTTAAGAGTTTGTTTAGGAGCTGGGCGGTGGTGGTGCACGCCTTTAATCCTAGCACTGGGAGGCAGAGGCAGGCAGATCTCTGTGAGTTCGAGACCAGCCTGATCTACATGAGCTAGTTCCAAGACAGGCTCCAAAGCCACAGAGAAACCCTGTCTCGGAAAAACAAAAAACAAAAAACAAAAGAGTTTGCGTAGGTACCCTGATGGCCAGACCAAACCTGTGCAGTTTTCAGTTCCTAGTTTAAGGGAACAGAGAAGGTGTTGCTTTGCAGTCACATACAGTATATGGTAAACAGTTCATACAGATTTGACTTTTTGTTTCTGAACTGCAGGCATATCTTCTCACGGAAACTTAATATAGTATTAAAGAATGATGACCAAAACTGTCCTAAAATAAACTCCTTGGGGTGTGCAATGTAGTTTTGAAAGCACATAATCTGAAACTAGCACATTCACACCTATCCCAATTTAGCTCTTTGCTAAGTTCATGACCTTATTTTGTTGTTGTTTGTTATTGTTGTTTGGTTGATTGGTTGTTATTTTTGTTTTGTTTGTGTGTGGGTTTTTGTTTTGTTTTGTTTTCTGTCTTGCTTTTTTGGTAAGATGGAATACCATGCACTCTGTGCTGGCTTTGCTCCTTCTGCTTGTGTTTCCCAAATGCTGGTATTACAGACTTGTATTCCCCACTACTTCATGCTGATCCCTGCTGTTTCTTGCTTGGTAAATGACAATGATAACAGTGTCCATGTTATGGGTGCCTAAGAGGGTTAATTGAATCACATGGTCTAGAGAGATGGCTCAGCTGTTAAAGTCTAGGCTCACAAATATGTGTGAGTCAACATATAAAAAGACTAGGCGGTGGGTAGATACAATAAATGCTTAGCAAATAGTCATCAATAAAACATTATTTATCTTCGGTGGTTTTGATTTCCTGTGTTTTAGGGTTATTATTTCACTTATAAAAAATAATTTGGGTAGAAAAGAATAATGCCTCAGTTGGGACAAGTTGGGCTTGCCATAGAAGCCCCAGATATTCAGCAATAAAGCACCTGTTCTCCAAGTTTCACTTAGGAGGTCTGTTTGATGCCCTAACCTTCAGGTTCCAGCCTCATCCTCTTGGGTCCAATCACTGGTTCTCTGTGGAGAGCTGGATAGTGGTCATTACTTTGATGAGAATGTTCAGTGCTGTGTGTGTCTGCCCCACAGCCTCTGCAGTCCTTGTCCCTGGCTGACTCAAAACTCAAGGCTGAGGTCACCATCATCATCAATGCATTGGGCAGCAACACCTCCCTGACCAAAGTGGACATCAGTGGAAATGGCATGGGGGATATGGGAGCGAAGATGCTCGCCAAGGCTCTGCAGATCAACACCAAGCTCAGGTAGGCAGGGCTGTCCAGGCCCCAAGGGGCGGATGCTCCTTCTGGGAAGTCTGGGCCTCCCAGGGTACCTGCTGGAAAGAAAGTAGTTTCATACTTTCATCAGAGTACTTGCTTGGGACGCTCCTGAATGTATACATAGACTTATTGATGGATAAGGAGAAAGGAAGGAAGGAAGAAAGGAAAGAGAAAAGAAAGAAAAATTATTGGGTGAGATGGCCATTTTTGTTTTGTTGAAACAATTGAATGTTATTCGTTGCTTACATAATGCTATTTAAATGCTTACAGGCTTGTCCAACCTATGTCCTGTGGATGGCATGCTGCTGCATGCAGCAAGAGATAGCTTTGAATTCAGTCCAATACACACTCTTAAACTTCCTTAAAACATTACGATATTTCTAAAAAAATAAGTAACTGCCTTGCATGGCTTTTGGTCATGAGTGTTCTGTCAGGATGTCAAAAGGTTGGATGTGCCTAGACAGTGTTGATTCGAAGCGATTTATCTCCAGCAAGACGATCATCTTCATCTCAGTGTCTGATCATTGACATGGTTTCATTTCCAAACAGGACAGTCATCTGGGACAAAAACAACATTACTGCACAAGGCTTTCAAGATATAGCCGTTGCTATGGAAAAGTAAGTTTTAATTGGGATTCTTCTCTGACAGAGCAGTGAAGAACCAATGGCATTAGTGCCACCTGTGGGGTGGTAGAAGAAACTATAGGTAGAAATCAGATCTTTGCCAACCAGCCATGCAGTTCAGGAGACCAGTGGCTTGGCTCTGATGTGAGTTTTCTCAAGTGCAGAACAAGGGTGGAGGTAATGATCTGCCAAAGCAGATGGTCATCAGAGGTCACTGTTCCTCCTGCTTTTGTGGTCCACAGTCCCTCTGCACTGGGTTTACTCTTCTGTTTATCTGGACAACATGAGGGTAAAGATGGGGACGGGGATGTGTGTATAGTCCAGATAATAAAAATGACATTGATTAATGGTGAGTCCCAGGCTTCTTTTATTGCTATAGAAGTTTTATTTTAGTTGCTACTGATAGTTACAATTGTTATTTGCTGCCCTACGTACTTTTCTGATCAATGAAATGAAAAAAAAAAAGTAACAATAATAGACAGGGATGAAAATAATACTAGAATGTCTTGTTTTCTGCTTTGACTCATGTCAGACTAAGAAATCAGAGTGTCTCTAAAGCAGAGAGGTGTTTCTAGCATTCACCCAGAAGAGCAAAACATCATGTGGACAACCCATGTGCCTTTGTTAACCTTGAGCACATTCATGGAGGTTGAGGCAAGGCCAACAGGGAAAATTCACTGAGCTTACTAGACAGGAAGCTTGTTGGTCTGGGGGACCTGAGGCAGAACTTGATGTCAGCTCATTGATGGAGGTGCTGTTGCCAGGCAATTGTTCTTGCTCTTGCAGAATCTTGTCTTAATTGCTGCAGCCTTAAAAAATGTTAAAGATGACATTTTCTTACTGGAACTTGTGCACATGGACCATGGTGCTTCTAGAATCAGAAGGAACGGTGTCACTATTTATCTGAGACTTTCAGGCAGGAACCCTCTTCCTACCCTCATTAATCCCTGGGTCTGGTGTGGATGGGTGTGATAAGAGTGGAACCTGGCTACCATCAGTTTTCAGAAATGCTAGAAGCAAATTCTGAGCCTTGGACAGGAGATGTACTAAAACACACTGGGAGATGGGGCTGCCACGGAAAAGCCCTTTCCCCAAGAAAGGGAGGAAATTTTCACTGTCCTGGATCACTCCCCACTGTGCTGTCTCCAGCCCCATCAGCCAGCATATGGCGTATCTCACTTCTTCGTTTATTCTTTATTTTCTCCCTAGGGAGAGGATAAGAGTTAATGTTCTTTAAATTTCTCTTTTGTTTTGGTTTGGTTTTTTGAGGCAGGGTTTCACTACGTAGCCTTAATTCACAGAGATCCACTTGCTTCTGCCTCCTAAGTACTGGGATTAAAGATGTGTGCTACCATGACCAACTCCAAATACCTTATTGCTCTTAATCACATGCTTCTACTTGAGCCAGGAATCAGAGTACAAAATAAGAAGGATTCAGTTCCTAGCCCCCACCACACACACACACACACACACACACACACCTCACCCCCACCCTCTTTTGAGACCTTGTCTTGCTATGGTAGACCATGCTGATTTCAGACTTGGAACAGTCCTCTGGCCCCTCTCCTGACTTGGAGTTCAGGGATTACAGGGCAAGTAACCCGCCTGGCTTCCTTATTTGTAGTAACACCAGGCTATAGAGTATAGGGGAGGCAGCTTACCACATCACAGTATACCACCTTCTCCAAGAGCTGTCTGTGACTACAAAACCACCTGTGTCTGTCGCTAGAGCAGGAACAGTGATCTTTACTGTGTTCATATCACAGCAGCCATTCCAATCTTGCAGGACACTGCCATCCCAGACTGGCATTTAAGAGAAGCCAGGAACACACCCTGTCAGTCCTCACCATTTCCCAGTGGATGCTGGTGTGTCTGGATCAGTCAATTATGTATGCTGGGCTCCAGGGTGCCAGATCTTCCATATCACTGTTGGTTAAATCAACCATGCTGGTCTGGAATATGATAAAAATGGGATGTGGGAAAGATTATAAAAAGATTTATAGTCTTTTAATTCCATTTGGCTCATTCCTTTTATAAGCAAACAACTTGTAAAACAAAGTAAACAAAGATAGAAATTAAAATTGTAGGGGCATGTCAGCCTTCTTTTGTTTAATTCTGTATTGAAGTACTCTATCTTGTGGACTACATGGCTGTTTTCTCTATGAGGAAACAGCTATCTAAATTGTTGCTAATAAAACAATTTTTTTGATTATTCATTCATTACTAGTGCCTTATGTAGGGGGGTTAGTTGCTAAGTCACTATTCTGGTGATAGCCACCTAAATGTCCATAAGACTCACAGCTGCTCATGGTTTGGAGATCTAAAGCATGACTCCAGTGTTACTCCATTATATGTGAAGAATGCCCAGGTATACCATCAAATGGCCCAATAGATCACTTCCCTCCCACCCCCCAACAGCAAGCTGTAGAAGTGAACAGTCACCTTGTGGGTGGGGGTGAGCAGTCATCTGCTGTGTTGGAGTGTGTGTTTCATAGCAAGTGGGAATGGTTGTCCAGGCACACAGAAACATGGAGCAGGGCAGGCTCTGAGGTAGGCCAGATTCCAATTTCTGTGGTATTTTTCACCCCAAGTGGCTGTCCCCTACACTCTTGAGTCTGATCAGCCTACCAATAGCAATGACATAGCATGGGCATAGTACTCTATAGCTGGTTTCTGCACATGATGGCTTTGGCTGATTTATTAGGCAAGTTGAACAGTGGCTCACAGGGATCAGGGTGCCTAGCTAGGCAGGCCACCCATTTTCCCCAGGCTTATTCTAGAGATGGTTACATGTTATGGATATATTTATCCAAAGAATGCCAGAATAGAAGACACTATTTTGTGGGTGCTAATGGCTTGACATCTTATTTGGTTTTGTTTCCTTTTTTTTTTTTTCTTTTTTGGAGACAGGGTTTCTCTGTGTAGCTTTGTGAAGCCTATCTTGGCACTCACTCTATAGACCAGGCTGGCCTCAAATTCACAGAGATCTGCCTGCCTCTGCCTCCCATGTGCTGGTGGCATGTGCCACCAATGCCAGGCTGTTTCCTTCTTGTACCCATTTTGGTCTTGCTATCACATTCAATTGTCAGGTACCATCAGATCTGTAGATAGCTGCAACCATGAAACTAGTTGATACTAGACTTTCTTCCTAGACTCTTTATCCATCCATCTTTCCAGTTCCAATGAGATTTTGTCTTTCATGTTAATTTAGAATGGAATGCAAAACTACATTCATCAACCTCATCTCTGTTTTGTAGGACAGTGCACATTAATGGTGTCATCCAGCCTTAATGCATATGGATATTTAAGACTACTCTGCAAAATCTAGGGCTCTTTATGGCTGTGTGACTTAGAGAGGTATTTTGTTTTGTGGGGCCTGGACTTGTTTTGTAGTCTTGGCTGGACTAATACTTCCTGTATTGTCAAGGCTGGCCTCAAATTCAAAGCAATCCTCCTGTTTCAACCTTCCCGGTACTAGGAATGCAAGTGTACACCAGTTTAGCAAGGATAATTCTTTGGTGTGTTTGTTTGAGACAGCATCTGGTGTAGATCAGGCTGACCTCAAATTCCCAGAGATCTGCCTGCCTGTTTCCAGAATGTTGGGATTAAAGGCGTGCACCACTGTGTCTGACTTGTAAAAGATATTCTTGCAGCTATCTTTTTAGATCTCAAAAAAAAGTGCTCAATTGTGATAACAGAATGGTTTTTTTTTAAAGTGTATGCTTTTTGTTCCTTTCTCCAGGAACTACACACTGAGATTCATGCCAATTCCTATGTATGATGCTTCCCAAGCTCTTAAAACAAACCCTGAGAAGACAGAAGAGGCTCTGCAGAAGGTATTGACAACTGAGAGAGCTGAGTACATTGTGCTCACATTTGAATTGTGTTTATACTTATTCTGAACATATGGCTATGACTTTCTCATAGAGCTTTTTAAAACCATGTATTCTTAAGATCATGACTGGCATGATTCTTAACTGGGTGTGGAAAAAAATAATGAAGACCTAAACCTTGCATGAACTTTTAGGGGAATACAGTAAAATGCTTATTATATCATCATGTCCAAGTATAGACACCTCCTCATCTTTGGAGAATGTGGGGAGCCGAGGCATCTCTTGTTCAATAGCTTTCCCATATCTCATTTTTCAGGATTTTGTTTGTTTGTTTGTTTTTGGTCTTTTGAGACAGGGTCTTCTATAGCCCAAGGTAGCCTCAAATTCAGTGTGTATCAAGGGATGACCTGAACTTCTGGTCCTCTGCCTATATCTGTCAAGGACTACAAGCATCCTTTGCTTTTTATGACTACATATCTCTAAGTTTAGATGTGCTCCTATGTTCCATTTTCACTCTGGTGCTTTTTCTAGAGCTTTGAAGTTGTTTCTCTCTCTTTGATGGTACCATGGTACCATCCTCTAGCCAGACTCCCAAATCTGGCTTTTCCTTTCTCACATCTTTGTTAGCCAATAGGCCACACAGTTGCCAGATTATATAGGCTAAAGCTATTTTCTCATTCTCTTGCCCCTGTGTTAATAATGCCACATTTGGCAATTCCTGTCTCTTTTCCATGTTAGAAAAATTAGCCACCATCTTTTATGGTAAATCTAAACAGGCGAAACATTCACACCATCCTTCACTGGCACATTTTTTTTTTCTGATAAATAAAACTTCATCTCCCTAACACAGAATGTAGTTCTATCTAGATCTGCCTTCTCTCTGCCTCCAGCTCTAACTTTTCATTCTGCCCCATCTCAAGGAACTGCAATGTTGAATCTGACATAAGAGTTAATAGTCTGTTTATACTGGCTTTTCTGGTCATTGAAGTTTGAGAACCATTGCCTTTCTTTGGTCAAGACTCAGCTCCTTCTACACTACTGTGCTTGGCTCTTGAGTTTGAAATCTAGTGTCTAGAGCACTCACAATGAATCCTTGGGGCGGTTTCACTCCCCTGATGGAGTGGCCCTCCTGGGATTTCCTCACCTGGACATGGAGTTAAGTTACTCTCCTTTTCTCTCCTAACAGACTTTCTTAGTTACTTTCTGTTGCTGTGATACAAGACACTGGCCAAAGCCAATTTGAAGAAAAAAAGACTTAGTTTGGCTTATGGTTCCAGAGGAATAGAGTTCATTATGGAGAGGAAGGCTTGACAACAGGCAAGGGAAGCATGGAGGCAGGTGCAGAAAACTGACCACATTTCTAGCCACATACAGGAAGCAGAGAGGCAGAAGAGGAAGTAAGGCAAGGTTATAGCCTTCAAGGTCTGCCCATGCCCAGTGATGTACTTCCTTCAGCAAGGCTGTACCTTTTCAAAGATCAAGAACCTCCCCTAGATGTGCCACCATCCAAAGACCAAGTATTCAAATACATGAGCCTACAGGGGACATTTCTTCTTCAATCACACAGACCATGAGCTTCTTGAAGGAAAAGCCCATGAGATTTTCAAACTTTTCCATTCTCTGCAATTAGTATATTTCCCATCATATGTGCTTAGAGCCTTCTTAACCATTTTGAATATAAAGGAATAATAGGAAGTACCAGGGAAAGATCTATAATGGCAAAAGAAATTATTCCAGATTTTCATTTGAAATATATGACTTTAAAACCAATTCTTACCTAAGTATAGTAATTCACCTCTATACTCCCAGGAGGATCTCTCTGAGTTCAAGTTTAGTCTGAGCTATAGAGTGAGACCCTAGCTCACAAAACAAACAAAAAGCCCAACTTTTCCCAACTTTGTAGCCTTCAGTAATTACTTAATTCTTGTGAACTTTAGTTTTCACACACATACACACTTTTATACGTATGTATGCATGCATGTGTATATGCATATATATGAATATAAATAGGAAAAAATATGTTGTACCCTAATTATGTTTAATGGGATGCTAATAAATATTTTAATGTATGAGGTCCAGGTACAGCATTCAAATGTTTATCATAAATTAACATGGGTGCAGCCTTTAAAACAGCAAAAGAGATGGTTCTGTTTCATCTCTGCTGTGTAGATGAGGAAATGGAAGGGAAGGGCCACTAAGAATTTGGCTAGGATTACAGACACCCATTACAAAGCCATGCTGAGGCATGCAAGTTCTTCAGGTGCATAGAGAGAGCGAAAAAGCATTAAAGAGGGAATTAAGGCAAAATAAAGTTCCATTTTTCTTAGTTCAAATTGTTCTAAGAGATGATTGCTTCCTTAAAGAAATCCTAGTAACAGTGTGCTGGATCTCAGTCATAGTGTGTGGAGACATGAGGCTACTGGGTATTGTATTTGTGGTGACCTCTGATGACTAATACCATGTGGAGACTTGAGATGACTGGTTGTCACAGTGTGGAGATGCAAGGTGACTGAATATCTTAATGTATGTTGATGTAAAGCAAATGACAGCATGCTGAGACAAGATGAAGGTAGACCAGCAGTCCTCATGACAAGAGATTGCACTTTTTATTAAATGTGTAATGCTATTTGGAAGTAGACCTGAATGTATTATAAACTTGTATTTTGGATGTTAAGACAAACACTGAAAAAAAAAAAAAAAAAAACAGGGCTCGTGCTGTGTTCATGTAGCTTCAGCTGGGGGAAGGGAGCTTTCTGTTCTACTGCCTCATCAGTGTTTGCTGGGAAGGAGCTTTTGCTCTGCTTTCTCTTTCCTGGGATGCAGGTAATTACTGTCTGGGTTTAATTGTTCCTAATTGCAATTGAATAGTACTTATTTTAGCATATGGAAAATTAAGATGAAAATGTAATAACAGTAAGAGGTTCACAGTTATTAGACATTCTTAACCAGGGAACCGCAGTGACAAATTAAAAGGCAAATGGTTAAGACACATTATTAAAACAATAAAGAAGGGAAGGATAAACCAAGATGGCACAATTTATCCACCATAAATCATTCTTTTCTCTCTTGGATACAGTGTCTCACTTAACTCAGGTTGGCCTTATAGTCCTTTTTATCTTGCCTTTGTCACTTCTGATTTCACTGCATATGATTGCTTCCTATGGTGTAGCTGCTGATGGTTGTGTGTGCGTGTGGGTGGGCGTGGGTGTCGGGGGTGGGGTGTGTGTGGGGGGGGATTACTATTTCCAGGGCAACCAGCACAGCATGTGTGTGTGTGTGTGTGTGTGTGTGTGTGTGTGTGTGTGTCTGTACTGAGCAGTCACACATAGAACACTTTGTAACCAGTTTCTCTTCCTGTTGCTAAGATAAAATACTCTAACCAAAGCAACTCAAGGTAGGAAGGGTTAATGGTGGTTCCTATTTATAAGCTATAGCACATGGTGGGCGCACCATAGGTGTAGAGGCTTCGGAGAGCTGCTCACAGTACATCTGAGGTCAAGAAGCAGCGAACAAGGATTGTGTCCAGTTGCTTTCTCCATTTCACACAGTCTTGGTTCCCCTGCCCAGAGAATGGTCCTGCCCCTGATTGAGATGGTCCTTCCCACATCCATTAACAGTAATCAAAATATCCTCCACAGACATATCCAGAAGCCCAGATTTGAACTCCTGAGCCCTCTGCTCCCACCTTCCCAGAACTGGGATCACAGGCATGCACTACCATGTTGTTTCTGTGGTGGTGGGAACTGAATGCATGGTCTCATGTGTGCTATGTTAGCACTCTATTAACTGAGTCGTATCTCCAGTCCCTCAGATCATTCTTTGAAAGTATATTTATTTCTTTGAGACAGCTCTCTGTATGTAGCCCAGGCTGTCCTAGAACTGCCTGTGTACCCCAGGCTAGACCTTAAACTCACAGTGATACTCTTTTTTATGCCTCTAGAGTATTGAAATTGTAGGCTTTCAACACCATACCCAGTGAAAACCCTCCTCATAGGTGTTTAGCATTCTAACTAGTTCATCCTGCACCCTGTGTACAGAGAGGGCCCATCCCACAGTCTGTTGATCTTCATAAACACTTCCTTTCCATCTGGTTATAATTTGTGCCTTCCCAGTTTAAGAAGAGTTTGTATACTAATTGTCAAACCACTTCAGGGTTTCTTGCTTTGTGCAGGGATATGTTTTCTTATTTGCTATGACTTTATTAAAATCGAAACTATGAAAATTTGGTAGATTATTAAAATTAGATTATACCAAAGTTACTACTTTTATAACTGTTACTTGTTACGATAAATCTTTCCTGCCAAAAGCCGCCCGAGCCCCACCACCACATGTGCGCTTTACGCCAGCCGCCCGCCCGAGTTAGGGCCCAAATGAACACACAGAGAGACTTGTATTAGGTTCAAATGCCGCTTGGCCAATGACTAGGATTCTCATATGTTAGCTCAGTCTCAATTATCATAAATCTATATATTTTATAAGACTTATCTTATAGAGAATGCCTTTCGTTGGCGCCCTCTCTTGCCAGTGGCTTGCATCCTGCTGCTGGAGGATGCGAAGGGGAAAAGGAGAGAACTTCCTGTTTCTCCTTGCTCAAATATGAGTCACCTTGCTATGTCACTTCCTGCCTGGATCACCACTTCTCTACTACATTTCCCAGAATCCTCTTTGACTCCTAGTCCTGTCTAACTTGCTGTTTCATTGGCCAAACAGAACTTTATATAAACAATCAATAAGATAAACATACACAGAAGTACTTCCCCCATCAGTTCTTCCCTCTCTCTCTCTCTCTCTCTCCCTCCCTCCATCCATATTTCCCTCCCTATGTTCCTCCCTTGTCCTCAACCTTTCTTCCCTCTTCCTCTTTCCCTTTCCCTGACAACCCCCAGCCCCACCCCCCGCACACACACATGCTTGCCTTCCCCTCTTTCCTTGCTTCCTTTAATAATTAGCCAGGTGCTGATCAGTTCTGGGGTGTGGATGAAGTTGAGGTTCAGAGGGTACAATTGCCCTCTTTTGAGGAGAATCATTTCTGAACTGCTTGGTAGTTAAAACTTCTCATCTCCTGCCACCCAGGGATGAGAAGCCTGAGCCAGCAGCTGCTGCCACTGGCTTATCTCTGTCAGCTTCAGACTCACACAACAATGAGTTCAGCTACCTCTGAAAGCTCATTTTCCAGCTAAAAGCACCTCTGATAAACTCCAGTGTCAGAGCTCTGTCTGAGTCTGGATGAGTTATGGGCTCAAAGAGCTAGTTGGTGGGCCATGCTTACTGACTCATAGCCTGATAACTTTATTCCCTGAGGAGTAAAAATGTGCTCTTGAGAGATATGTGTGTTCTATTTCCAGATAGAAAATTATCTGCTACGGAATCACGAGACTAGAAAATACCTTCAGGAGCAGGCCTACCGCCTCCAGCAGGGCATTGTCACCAGCACCACCCAGCAGGTAAGGGCCCCACTGTCTCCGGACTGTCAGCAGAGGCTCGCAGGGCCTAGTTCCCGGAGGACCTAGCAGATGGAAGGAGAGAAAAGTGTTTTTGAGCATTAAGAAGGAACTGCAATAAGAAATGGCATCCTAGAAGCTACCAATTGGAGAAAAACTTTTTGTTGTTGTTGTTGCTGTTTGTAAGTGTTGAAAATTAGGAGACTGTGAAAGTGAAAACTCAAGACAGGGATTGAAGAAGAAAACTGAATAGAAACAGAGCTGAGTTCTACTTTACATTTCATGGAATCATGCAATTTTTGATCATTAATATATATATATGAAAAATAAGATACATTTGGTTCGGAAATGGAGACAGTAGTTCAAGCCTATAATCTCAGCCTTGGGAGTCAGAAACAGGAAGATTAGGAGGAGTTCATAGTCATCTTTGACTTTGGACAGAGTTTGAGTTAACCTGGGCTGCATAAGTTCCTGTCTCAAAACATTAAAACAAAAGCACACAAACAACTTAAGGTGAAAGCCACAGCAAAATCAAGTGGTTATCTCTGAAGGTTGAGAGAAACTGACAGGATTCCTTTTATTGTCATTGGTTATCTCAGAGAGTGCTGAGTGAACCTACCCTCCTAGACATTTCAGGACTGTTCACACGTCTACTGATTACATGTTTTACTTAATTAGGAAAAGTCAAGTAATATGTGTCAAGAATTTTTTTTAGTATTTCTGACCTAGCACAACTTTTGAGAAAGGATTATTTAGATTTTGCCAAGCCTTAAAAATCTAATTTTTCCCCTGTTAGTGACTAGCATTACTTGAATATTTTACAGCTACTGTTTCTAACAGATTTTAATTTTTTCTTAAGATCTATTTTTATTTTTAATAGAGGTATCAGATAGGTGTACACAAGTGTAAATGCCCACAGAGGCCAGAAAAAGGTATTGCCTGGAGCAAAAATTATAGGCTTTGTGACCTGCCAGACCTATGTTTTCTGGCAACCAAACTCAGGTCCTTGGCATGAGCAGCAGTGCTTTTATGCACTGAACCATTACTTCAGCCCTGGTTCCAGTGTTTAACCTTAAAAGCAGCAAGACTGTTAACACCATACCTTTGCCTCCTTTCCAATAATGAGATACCAAAATGTAAGCTTCTTTCTCAATCCAGTGTCTTTCCAACTTCTTTCAGATTGAGAGAGCAACCCCCAACCCCACACCAAAACAATGACAACAAAAAACCCACCAAAAGTAAATAGAAACAAACAAAACCACAAAACCACAAAAGTGCTTGTTCTTCACATCAGATTCTTTTCATCTTCTCATGGAAAGCAACGGCACACAGGAGAGGGCTGTGGATGCTTAACTCTGCCTTGGTGGCTCATTCTGAATTATTTGAGTCATTAAGTACTAGGTACACTGCCGCCTTTCACTTTGGGGATTTCTTGGGATTTTATGACCAGCTATTTTCCTACTTGAATCATTTCAGCGGCTTCAGGGGAGATGTACCTTGAAGTATTAAGACATTCAAATACAGGAAGAAAAGACCTTTTGTGACAACTGTTCCAGAACCCCCTAACCAGTGGTCATGCCCCCAGATGACAAGGGAAGAATCACATTCTGAAATCACATGGCTCTTCATGCATTGGTTGTCTGGTGTCTTTGTCTAGGATTTTGTAAGAATCAATACTGTCTTTTTGTTTTTGAATTCTCTGCTCTCACTCACCAGATAAGCCATCTTAACCAGGTGTGGGGAAACTGTCTAACATAGTAAATATTCTAGGCTTTGTGTACCTACTGCAGGTATCACCTTCTGCCACTGTGTCGTAGATAAAGCCATATACCGTGTATCAGGTTTCATGGATGCACTGTGAGCTTGTCTATGGATTAAATATCACAAAGTCGGGCCCAGAATTATCCGCTCCAAGCTCTAGTTCTTCTCCAAAGAGCTATTTTCTCAACACTCTTGAACTCTTTTTTTCTCCTTGAGATCATTACTTGGCTAACCTCCCCAGCCTGTAACAATCTGAAACATGACCCCTATATATGTCCACTGAAGTGGCTCTCAGTAATTGTCCCCATCAGTAAGTCTAAGAGTCCTTTTCGTATTGAGGCTGTGTCTTGCTGTGTTGTCTGGCTAATGTCCGATTCCCTGTGTACTGATGCTCCTGTCTCTACCTTCCCTGGGGGTTATAGGCCTGTGCCAGCACACCTAGCCCTTGCAATAGTATTGACTCTGGGTGTTTTTTCCCACTCTGTCTTGATATGGCTTGATGGTGGGGCTATTTTCTTACTCAGGATTTTCTCTCTTCAGCATCAGGAATATGGATGTGTTTCTCTTGTATAAAGAAATAGCCAAAGAGGAAAAGAACTTTGTTTCCTTAAGAAGTTGTTTGGTGGAAGAAGTAGGGACAAGTTGAAAGTGACTCAAGATGGCATTTATTGTGAGGGGTTTCTATGCTTTGGTTCAGCAACCCAGGAGCTCTGAAGGAGCCTGCTAGTCCCTGCAAGTGTACCATGAGTTAGTTGGGTGATGAGGTTGCTGAAGAAGCCAACTGCACTTCTGTCAACTCAGAGGATGGAAGTGGGTAGTCCAGCTCTGCCCACCCCTGTCATTTTACTGAGGCTTCCAGACAGAACAGTAAATTCAGGGAAGGTATATCTCAAATAGGGTGAGCCTGCTGGTGACTATTGAACTATATCACTGTAGAAACAAATATCATTAATGTAATGATTGGGAATGTTAAGTAGAAAGAGTAGGTGAGGGAAGAAAAGAGTGTTCAAGTATTTGGATGACCCTCTGTGATAACGCTTCAGGTTCTCAGTGGGGGAAGATGTTTGACAAGAGTTTGGGAAGCTCGATTAGGACACAGATAAAGAAAGGTCATTCTGAGCAGTGACATAATGAGCATTTCCATAGAATGCTGGTTGCCTTAATTGCCTTTCCTGTTGCTCTGATAAAATGCTCTGACAAGCAACTTAGGAGACAAAGGGCTTGCTGTGGCTCACAGTTCAAGGGTTCCTTCTCACAGCAGGAAAGTTAAGATAGCAGAGCTTTGCAGCTGCTGAGCACATGGCATCCACAATGAGGAGGCAGAGAATGGTGGATGCATCCTGCTATTCAATCCCCTTGCCCAAATATTAAGAGGATGGTCCCGCCCACAGCTCACAGCTCACAGCTCACAGCTCACAGGCTTTGCCTTGATGTCATTGAAGTGATCCCCCACAAGCCAGCTCAGGGTCCAGACTCCTGGAAAATTCTAGATTCTGTCAAGTTAACAAAGAACACTGACCACAGCAGTCAACACTGTTATGTGTTAATTTTAAAAAGTAAATGGACACTAGCAGTTGTGTGTCAGATGAAGCAGGAAGAGTTAGTCAAAAGGACCACATTCCTCTACGTCCTCTTCCATGATGCTTTGTAATTGGATAACTAGAGCAGTCTCTTTGCTACTCTGTAGATGGGCTTTCTGTCCTGCCCAGTCCTCAAGCTGTTAATCTCAAATAAACACACAAAGGTTTATATTAATTATAAACTGTTTGGCTGATGGCTCAGGTGTCTTATTGGCCGGCTCTCTCTTAATTATTAACCCATTTCTATTAATCTGTGTATCTCCACAAGATATTGGCTTACCAGTGATGCCAGGATCTCTTGCTTCCTTGGCAGCTACATGGTGTCTCCCTGATGGTGACTCACTTCCAGTGTTCCTCTTCTAGAATTCTCCTAGTCTGGTAGCTCCACCTATACTTCCTGCCTGGCTACATCCTGTTTGTCCACCAAAACAGCTTTACTTATCAACCAATAAAAGAAACATATATTCACAACATACAGAAGGACCTCCCCCACCACTACCCCTCCTGTTAATTGTTTTCAATTATATGCTTTAGGGGTATGGATTATAAAATGATAGTGAGACACCTAGATTTGCCCCCCCCCCCACACACACACCAAAATTTTAACTTTGCCCCATGTCGCCTTAAGTAAATAACTTGCCTTTCACATCCCCTGGGCTCCAAATGTGCTACATTTGTTTTTGTTAAAGTTTAGCAATTGCTTGGATGAGCCCTTATAAAATGAGAGTTTGTCTCATTTGAAGAACAAAAATTTTATTTTCCTTTTGGCTTTAAAAGTGTTCCGTGTGGAGACCATTTTTGTGGAGTTCATTTAAACACTCTCTCCTCTGTGAGTGCTGATGGCACACACTTCAGGGGGCTCTTTGGTGCTAGTGGAGAGGATTGACTTTATTGGGTTGCTTCCACATGCCTCTTGGGTTGGCCTTTTGTGGCTTCGGATGTGTATCTAGTTTATCTTCTGAAATTAGAAAATCATTCTTAATCAGATGTGAATTATTGATGACCATTTTTGTTTGGATCAATATGCCAGTTTGAAGAGTAAAGATTTATGTCCATCATGAAGGTTTTTAGAAACACAGTCAGCTCTCTGCAGGGCATTGTGGGAATGCAGAAAGTATTCAATTCCTGCCTGTACGCATAGATTGGAGGTGGAGAGTGGATGTAAAATGAGAAGCTGTTCCTATGAGGGGCTTGAGACAGTCACTTACAGGAAGTCTGGGAATGCTACAACAGAAGGGCTGCTGGGTGCATCCACAGTGCTCTTACTAGGCCCTCATCAACAGGATAGAGGCTTTGAGAGGGGGTGATTTACTGGATTGTCTTCATAATGCCTGGAAAGACATTGTGAGCCTGACTTTATAAAAGGAAAGATGAGAGAGGCGCCAGCACTGCAGCAGGAGACCCTAGTTCTGAGGTCAGAATCCAAGTCTATATTCTATTCTGAAAGCACTCTCTCTGTCCCTCTCCTTAGGGTTTCACAATGTTGTCGTGGCTGTCCTGCCAACCTCTATGTAGCCTAGGCAGCCTCAAACTTGTGGTAATCCTCTTGTCTCTGCCTCTGGAGTGCTTGGATTGCAAAGCCTGAAAAATGATTACAATTTTATTTTATTTTGTGATGCTGGGGATTAAACCCAGTGCATCAAGCATGCAGTGCAATTTCTACCAAACTAGTACTATCCCCTTTTGGGTGAGGGGTCTGTTGTTCTGGAATTTGTTCGAGAAGGAAGGGAGACTTTAGCTTCCTATTGACACAATATCAAATTATTCAAAATAAAAAGAAAAGGGTAATTTAATTTAAAAAATAGAACAGTTAAACTTTGTTGATTCAACTGATTTATTAGATGGGCAGGACACTTATAAGGTCCCTGAAGAATGGACACTTTTTCATTTATTTCATTCTTTTATTCATTCATTTCATTTTATTCATTTATTTACTTGTGTATGGGGGTAGGAGGTAGGCATGTCTGTGTGCCTTGCATTCACAAACAGAGATCCCAGGGCACCTTACTTGCAGGAACAGTTGTCTCCTTTGTCATTTGGGTTTTAGGGATAAAACTCAGTTCCTCAGTCTGGGCATGTGCCTTTACCTGCCAAGCCATCTCACTAACCCAACAATTATTATTATTATTTTTGCTTGTGAGACAAGTCTAATATGCCCCAGACTGACTTTGAACCTTGCTTTGCAGCCGAGGATGATTTTAAATTATCCTCTTCCAACTGCCTAGCTAAACAGTATTTTTTAAGACCCTAAAATAGGCATTTAGATGTGATGAAAATGCCAGAGAAAGGTTTTGGAGGTCACCATAATTGCCATTTACTTGAGATGAATCTTTTCTCCTCCTTCATTTCCTCTTGTATACCCACACCTGGCTGACTGTAAAAAAAAAAAAAAAAAAAATAGAGGTTATTTCAGCCCATGGTCCCAGAGGTTTTGAGGACCAGGAGTGAGACCCTGAGCAAGGGATGCCCATTCCATGTGACACCCACCACCACAGGGAGATGTGGTCACTAAGAGAAGGTTGGCCCCAAGGCAGATTTAAAATAAGGATGCGGTAACCATTGTCTACTGTCACTGTGTACACAATGCTCTGCCACTTCCTTTGTGTTCTTTAGTTCAATCCTGGACCCACTGAAAATGATTCGAGTACAAATAGCTTGTGAGACAAAGCTGCTGGGGTAGACACTAGGTGGCATTAACTTCATTGTTACCCATGCTAGTATGACATGACACATCCCACCTTTATCGATTGAGACAATATCTCATGTTGTTCTTCAACTCGCTTTGTAACAACCTTGAACATCCAGATCGCCATCTCAACTACCCAAGTGGTGGGATATCTGATGTGTGCTACCATACCTAGTTTATATGGTACTTGGAATTGAACCCAGGGTTTCATGGAAGCTAGGCAACCATTATCCCAACTGAGCTACAGCTCTAGCTGCCCTGACTTGCTTCTATGCTTTGGTGGTTCTCAACGTATAAAGAAAAGCACTTCATATAATAGAATTTTTAAACTGTCAATTTCCGGAGACTGTTTTGGTTTCCATACAATTGAGACCAACCGGCAGTTGTCAGCATTCTATTGTCATGTCACTAGTCTTGGTAATAATGTAAGACATTGTTTTGTTTCTTCAGCACCTCTCCCTCTATCTGACACACACAAGGCACTTGATGACAGTTAATGAGAGTCACTGTCTAGCAGATCACCATGGGGAGCTACAAGATTTGAATCACCTAGATGATTCACTACACAGTATTCTTTTTAAGGGATAAAAGAGACCAAAATGCCTCAAATCTTTTCCTGGAGCTAATGTGCCATTGGTTTCTTGCATGTTTAGTTAGACTAATTTAATAATTGGTTAACCTCCCTTCTGGAAGATGCCAGCAAGAGATTTTCAACCTCATGCATTCTGTTTTTTTGAATTTTCATTGTCCATTCTGTGTCTTCCTTTTTTGCACCAACTTGGATGCTTTTCTGGTTTCACAGATGATTGACCGGGTATGTGTAAAGGTTCAGGATCACCTCAACTCCTTGCGATCCTGTGGGGGCGACGCTATTCAGGAGGATTTAAAGGTAGCAGAGCGGCTCATGCGTGATGCTAAGAATTCTAAAACGGTGAGTTTCTCCTCGGAATTCATGAGAGTCTGCATTGTTTGTCCTGTTGGTACATGTGTCTATTTCTATCAATGAAAATGAGGAGTGGAGCATGGTGAGAGTTTCAGAGTATACAATTGAGCCCTGAGTAACGGACAACACAATACTCTCACTGTCACCTCTGACCCTTTGTGGTAAAATTTGGTTCCTAGGTTACTCACTCCTGTAATCCTAGAACTTGGGATACTAAGGCAGGGAGGTTGCAGCAAGTTTGAGGCCAGCCTGGGCAGCATATTGAGAACCTGTCTACAAAGACTTCACTCTCCCAAAGTGTGATATAATAGGAAATAGACTTAGTGTGAGCCAGAACCTAGGATCTTTTCCTGTTAGGGTCACGTAAGTAGGGTTTTAATTGTTGTTGTTTTTGTTTTTTTAAGATAAGAGTTTCTCTGTGTAGCCATTGGCTGTCCGGGAACTCGCTCTGTAGGCTAGGCTGGCCTCAAACTCAGAGATTCACCTGCCTCTACCTTCTAAGTGTTGGGATAAAAGGCATGTGCCACTGCTATTCAGTTCATTTAAGTAGTTTTATTTAGTTGTTTCATTGTTGTTTTACTTGCATTTATTTGTGTGTGTGTGTGTGTGTGTGTGTGTGTGTGTGTGTGTAAGTTAAAAGGTAACTTGTACAATGTAGGTCCCAGGGTAGGCTTGGTGGTGAGTACCCACTGAGCCATCTTACTTACTGGCCCCAGGACCACAGTTGCTGAATGTTGTGTGAGGGACCTTACAGATTAGTCAAATAGACCTATGATGCAATAATAATATATATTGAGCCATTGTCCTTGCATCCTGTCACAGAGCCTCTAAATCCCTGGAACATTCTGAATGACAGAGGTGGCAGTAGGCAGATCTTTAGGTACTGGTAACCAAAGCTCTCCAATACAGCAGCATTCATCTTAAGGAGTGGATGTGGAAGAAACAGCCGTAGGATGCGCATTGGCTCTTCTGTCCAGTCCACACCCCCTACCAATGGGAAGGGCTAGAGACTGGGTCAGTCACCCATGAACAGTGACATCATCAACCATGTCACCAATGTGACTTCAGTGATATCATCAACCATGCCTCTAATGCAACTTTGAGGGAGTCTTAAAACAGGGGTTTAGATAGCTTTTGCTTGGTGCCAACAAGGTGCTTGGAAGCTGGCATACCTGAAGATGGCATGGAGCCCTCTTCCCCAAGCCTCTATAGAGAGCCCTTTTCTTTAAGCCCACGTGAAACCCTCACCTTTGTACCTGGTGATGCAGTGCTTTCATTTCACTGTCTGGGTTGGAAACCAGCAGTGGTAAGGAAGTTGAGATGAGTGAGGCATTCCAGCAGGTCACTAAAACCTGAGGGCTAGGTGGTAGGGCACCCTTGACTTTATTATCAGTTTTCCCGAAGTACCAGTTATGACCTAGGATTTGTGACTGGCAGCTAAGTGACATAGTCCCGTAGGTCTGAGTCATTTTCTTATGGCATCTGACAGTCTAGGCAGAGTGTATCAGAACTGAGGGGAATCATGGGATAACCACTTGGTAGGTATCTGGAGAGAAGTGGCATTAGCTGCATCTTTGGTGACAAAAGTATGATGAAAGTAGCTTAATCCTCACAGCCTGGACAAAGATAAGGAATGTACAAAGGACACTGACTGACTCCATGGCATCAGAACTACTGAACGGCAATGTGGTTGTGCTGTCTCCCAATGTCACTAGCATTGTTGGGTTTCACTGAGCATGAAAGATGCCAATAGAGACATGGGTGGGCCTCAATTTACCATCTGGCTTTGGCCAAGGACTGATGATCTCTATTTCTTGACCTCTCTGTAACTCCACAGTGGTCTTAATGCTTATTAAAATATTTACTCTTACAGCAAGGTTACTTTTCACCTTTCTTACAGTTGTTACCGAATTTATACCATGTGGGCGATGCTTCCTGGGCAGGAGCCAGTGGCCTATCATCCAGTCCCATTCAGGAAACCTTGGAATCAATGGCTGGAGAAGTCACAAGAGTTGTTGATGAACAATTGAAGGTCTGTGGGTCCTGTTATTTTTGGAGAATGAATTTGTGATGATGTAACTGTTGTTAGCATTCCATGTGGTAGCTGCCCGTATTTATAGGGTGCACGTGTGTGTGTCTGTGTGTGTGTGTGTGTGTGTGTGGGTGTGTGTGTGTTTTGTGTGTGTGTGTGTGTGTGTGTGTGTGTGTGTGTGTGTGTGTGTTTGTAATGTGTGCCTGTGTGCTTACACTAAGTGGGCAAATACATGGGGTAGAAGTAAGTATGGCATTTAGTGTAGTTTGTGTTTTAGAATGCTTTCCTACATAGTTGTCTCGCTTTGGATGACAAGTCTCTAAATGCATTTAATATGATTGACTGTTAACTGATTGGGGAGGGGTGATTTCCATATAGAGGAAGAAGTGCTCTGGGGGAAATATATTACCTTTGATTTTTGAGAGTAGAAAACATGGTGGGGACTGTGTGTAAACACTGTGTGCTATTTACATGGAGAATGACAGTAGAGGCACACCCATCCGTCCTTGACATAGTTAGGGAATGGTTAAACAGACTTATTTAGAATGGAGCTATAGGGCACCCAAATAAACAGAGGTCTGTTCTTGGCTTACTGACTGAAAAAAGGCTTTAAAATGTCCCTAAGTCTTTAAAGGACGTGGGTAACCTGAGCGCAGCTTTTTCTAAAGGTAATTTCAAAAATTAGCTGCCCAGAGATGTTTCCCATTTAGAAGGATTTTTTGCCTTTCAATAATGCATTAAGGTCCTTTGAGTTTCTGTAATTATTTAATCTGTTTCCTTCTGAGAAGGTAGCATCTACAGCAAGTGGAGGAGCTGAGGTGCAAACAAATGACACCTTTACAATATGCTAATTATGCTCTGAAAATTAAGCTAACAAGGCGGAAAATGCTGTGGATTCTTAGACATTAATCCACCTCCCTGTGCAGGTCCCATAGACACACTGTTTGAATTTGTACTGAACAAAGACAGTGTGCTGCTTCCGAGTCTTTCTAGACCACACGATAGTAAATTGCTCTTGAATCCTTCTATACATGGCCTGCCTGTACAAGATCATTCGTTCTTATAGTGATAATAAACAACTTTGTTACTTATGTCTGACTGTAAAAAAATGAAAACTAATGAGAAATGCTTAAGCATTGCCAAAAGTAAATTTGTAAAGAATTACCGAAACAGAGATCACCTCAAATTCTGCCTACGTACTCTGTCTTACATCTTTGTGACGATGCCATGCAAATGATTAAAGAAGCTTTTACACACAGAGTCATTATCACAAGTGCAGTTCTAGCAGTGAGAAAGCATCGTTTCTAATGGCTGCATTAAAGATGCACTCTGCCGCATAGATGTACCTATTCTAATTTCTGATGAACTTTGATAGGGTGAATTTGTGTAATGGCCCCAGGGCTGGGTGAATCACATTATGCTTTTGTATGGATTTGCAAACACATCAAGCAGTGCAGAGAACTATTTGTTTATCATATGCTAAACAGCACTGAGTATAGCATGACACTTCTAATATTTTTAATGTAATGGGTTAAGAAAAAAAAACTCCAACCTATTGTGTGTTTTTATTTACATAATAAATACATAAGTATTTATTTATTTGTGGTGCTGGAGCTTGGCCTCAGGGCTGTATGCTTGCTCAGTAAGCATTTGATCAGTGAGCTACATACCCAGCACTGTGTGGTTTCTGTTGAAACCTATTGCCTATTTCCATCTGTTCCCTGCCCCCTCCTCCCTTTAGAGCATCTGTAAGAATTTCTTCCTACTATAAGAAAGGCTGTCATTTAAGTCTGCATGAAACGTGGTAACAGCTCCTTTCCTGTCCAACAGCTTCCAACTGTTGCTGGTTTTTCATCTTGTCTAAGCTACAGACTGCCCTGACCTTGGCTGTCTGTTTCCCCGAAACTGCCTAGAGCAGTTGAAATTGAGTCTGGCTAATTTTTCTTAGGAGAGACTAGGGCACAAATATCCAAATAAAATAATTTAGATTTAAAAGGCCTGAGATAATATAGGTGCTATTGTTCTGTGGATAGGCTTTTCCTACTTTTCGTTTGGAGTTTTCTGAACCCTTATTGAATGTCACCCATGTCCTCTGCTTATCACTGTTCTACTACCTCCTTCTCTCCTTCTCACACTAACTCCCAGGCTCCCAGCCGCCAGTAGCCTATGTGTTGGCGCTGTTTGTGTTTCTCCCGCTCCCTGCTTACATGTCATTCCTGGCCCTTGTGAGATTCAAGTTCCTTTCTCTCTGAAAGCACCTATCATGAATCACAGCAAGTCCTTGTTCAGAGAATCCTGTTTTCTTAAACATTTACTTTCTTACACTTCCCATGCCCTGAAGATCATTTATTTCCTTTCTACTTTCTTCTACTGACCTGACAAATAGCTTTTTCATTTGGTTTGGTTTTTCGAGATAGTTTCTGTGTGTAGCCTTGGCTGTCCTGTAACTTTTTCTGTAGACCAGCCTGGCCTCTGCCTCCTGAGTGCTGGGATTAAAGGCCTGTGCCATCACTGCCCTGCCAATTTTCCTAATTATGATAACCATGTAATGCATTGGTTTCCTTACAATTAAGTAATAAAGTGCATTTCATATAATTAACGAAGCTGTAAGGATCATTCCTTACTACAAAAGCAAATTTTCATTGTTAAAGGAGGCCTTTTCGTGTTTGCAGAGTCTCTAACATCCATCATGACAGCAAGAGCTAAAGCAGGGTTGTTGGGGTTTTTTTTGTTTTTGTTTTTGTTTTTTTTTTTTGTATTAACTATTATTTTGTAAAAAAAAAAAAAGAGAGAGAGAGAGAGAGTTTTATTGTAGGGAATGGAAAAGGGGGGCAGGCCTGGCTCAGCACCTTGGGTATATTCATCCTGACAGTGGCTGAGGGTGGCAGCTGCCTGACTGTCTGGACCACTGTTCCTTACTTATGTAGCAACAATGTTGATTACTTCTTGCTCTGATATTTGATCAGGATAATGCCTCATCATAACCAATGATGTGAGTTTTAATTATTAGATGAGAAATGTTCAAATAGTTCATTGGGCTATTTTTCAAAATGATTATTTCAGAAAGCAGAAGAAAATGGGCAGGTGGGTCGGTCTCTTCACTACGCCCTCGAGCAAAGAGAAGGTCTATAGAGTCCCTTCTTTGAGAGGCCTCGTGTTCCCTGCACTGGCCTGTGTCAAGGTGTCAGGATGACACCTGGCCTCCTATCCTTCCCTTTGCCTCCTAACATTACTGCTGGGACAATCATAGAGAATAATGGGTTTGGATGTTTTAATGTAAAACATGTTTATTTGGGTCTGGAAAGTTCTTACTTTCTTTCCCTCAGGCTTAAATGGTGAAAATTTTTCACTGGTAAATTTCAGATTTACTTAGGCTTTGAGGCCTGGTGGGTTTAAGGGGAATTCTGTCCAATCAGATTTTGCTTTATTCAGAAGAGTTCTTTTTCTGTATTTAGGATTTTTGATGTTGCTGCTGCTGCTGCTGCTGCTGCTATTACTGTTATTGTAGTTGCCGCTGTTGCTATTATTGTTGTTGCTGTCATTGCTGTTGTTGCTGCTATTGCTGTTTTTGTTGTTGATGCTGTTGCAGTGGTTGTTTTGCATTTCTCAGACTGACATCAGGATCTTGAACATGTGAGGCATATGCTCTACCACTGAGCTATATCCCCAACCCCATACTGGGTGTCTCCAAAGCTTGAGAAAAAGCAGTTTCTGAACACTCCAGTATGGATATTACACTTGCAATTCAGAGGCTCAATACCAAGCTAAAAGAGTAGCTGCCATCTTAAAGATATTAATCCAGCTTGTCTTACAGACATTGTACAGATATCCTAACACCTGGTGGGTGAGTAGGTTATTTTACAGTTTGGAGGTGCGCACCTTGAGACTGTCTTAAGGGAACTGAATTCTGTCACATTTCAGATTCAGGGCCTGCTCACTGAGAGTTGTCCAAAGACAGTCACACAGAGATCAAGAGTATGAAAACAGTATCAGAAAAGTGCAGGGTGGGCACAGAGTTACATCAGCCTGGCTTAGCATTCCAGAAGGAGGGAAAAGATAGTGAGAGAAGGTGACATTGAAGAATGTTGGGAACTGGGAATTGGCAGACTGACTGAAGAAGCCCAGCAAACCCAAAGCAGGAGAGATGGGGTTCCTAAGGAGTCTAGTGGGAAGAAAACTCCCTCTTTCTCCCTGCCCTCCAGAGCCTGGCCATTCTCTGCTCATCAGTTAAGAAAGGCAGGAGGTAATGAAATGATGTCAGCAAACTTCCTCACAAACATAAGCTGTTAGTGTAGAGGTACACATCCAGCTGGACCCAGTGTTTAAGGAGGATGCCGTGAAGACGACACTTCGTCAAGACAAACTGAGATAGTGGGGCTGGAGATGTTGCTCAGAAAGGAAGAGCATGAACTGCTCTTGCAGAGGACCAAATCCAGTTCCCAGTTCCACATCTAGCTGTTCTCAATTACATACAGCTTTAGCTCCAGGAGACCCTATGCCTTCTCCCACCCACCCATCCTCAGCCCACATCTTTATAACGACATCTTGAAAGGAAAAAGAAGACACCCCAACACACACTCTGAGTTGGGTTAGCTTTCTCTTCCTAGACCACATTAAAAAGTAATAATGTTGTACCTTGGGCCAAAAGAAAAGCTGTCAGGAAAAAAACCCTGAGCTTTGAGAAACAAGAAAGAGGGAAAATGTAGTGTTGCTGTCAGGACAATGTACTGAAACTTTCTCATGCTCTACCTAGTTTTGTGCTAAACAATCAACATAACATTAAACAGAGCCAACTACTCAATATGGCTACTGTTTCCTTTTCATGCTCATTTAAATTTAAGCTAATTAACATCTAGTAAAATTTAAAATTCAGACTCTCAGCAACACTCTACCTCCCACATCACTGTAGATAAGTGTTTGCTTGAGGCTCATTAATACCTAAAGCACAACATGAGGCTACAGGAAACAGGTGGTTGAAGGATAGGAACCAGGGGACAGAGAACCCATGCTTGGTGTGTATGCAATATAAGTACCTGAGTTGGAGCCTGTGGTATTTCAAGTGTGTCCTAGGACCCTTTCTCCCAGCCCTGTATCACATGGATCATCCTGGAAACCTTAGGTGCTGTTGGCTCAGGGAACAGGGAAAGAAAATTGTAGGTCCCAAAGCAAAGGTTTGGACAGACTTGGGTATCAGAAGATAATACTAGAGGAGAAATGGACAGGAGACCCTCTAGCCCTTATCTCACCAATTCCACTAAGCACTGAGTAGCCCTGAACAAGTCACTTACCTCCTCTGAGCCACACTCTCCTTATTTATAAACTAAGTATTTCGGAATCAGCCTTCATTTACAGAGTGTTGTGTGGACTGAAAAGCATCCTGGATGAGATTTATTTTGTAGAGTAAAGTGCTGCCTAGATCTGTCACTCGGTGATTATAGGTGGATAATTCTGTGCAGTGTCATTCAGCTAGGTTTCAAATTTGGGTCTGACAGGAAGACAGATGACTTCTCCATAGAGCAATCCCATTACCCATCTTGGGCAAGTCATTTAACTTTCCTTAGTGCACACATTCCTCACCTGTGAAGGAAGATCCCTTCAGCAGCCGCCCCATCCATCTGCACAGATGCTAGAAGGATAGAATGTGCAGTATCATTTCTCAGATGCTGTGGGGCTGTGAGAAAACACATTTTGGCTGTTGCTATTGAGCTTGTTTATAGGGTTCTCTGTAAATGTTTTCATCTGTTATTATTTATGTTGCTTATTGCTGCTAGCTACCGTTTTACCTAATATGAAAGCTTTTCTCTTAAAAGAGAAAGATTGGCAGTCATTTCAGTGATTTTGTTATTTTTCTGCTGCTGTATTTTGGTAGAACTATTGAACGGTTCATTATAATTTAGAGGCTTGTGTGATTTGGGAAATCACATACGTATTTTAGGGATTTCTAATTCTCAAGTTTGTATCTGATAAGCATGCTTTCTAGAACCTGGTTGCTCATCTGCTATGGCATGTTGCTTTGTAAAAGGTGGATACTTGCATGTTTTATTCTTCTCATTCATGGCTTTGTGTTAAGTTCAGTTGCTGCACAGAATACCTCAGATGCCTGAGGGAAGCATGGGTTCTGCCAAGTGTCTGATTTAAAGTGAAACCTTGAGTTTATCAGTCACCCAACAGTAGCAAATCTCCCAGGGGCTGTCTGGAGTCCTTGGTTGTACTCCAGGGGGTTCCTGTCCTCCAAGGGTTTGGTATAATACACTTGAGTGTTGTGGTGGCTGTGTCATTATGACCCTCTTCTGCATCACAGGGTTTGCTTGAATCCATGGTGGATGCAGCCGAGAACCTCTGCCCCAATGTGATGAAAAAAGCCAACATCCGACAGGAACTGATCCACGCCAGCACGGAAAAGATTTCTATCCCACGCACCTTTGTAAAAAATGTCCTGTTGGAACAGTCTGGAATAGACATTCTTAACAAAATTAGGTATGCTCAATGTGCTACTAAGCTGAGGAGCTACAGTATATAAGACATGTCCAGGTTGTGGGCAGGATAGTTAGTGTTGATGGCTTTATCATCAAGAAGTATGTTGAGATGTGCCTAACAGACTCAGAAAAATGTAAACATAGCTATGCACACAAGGAATATATGTAAACATAGGCTACATACACAAGTAAGAGTTCTGGCCATATTATGGCTGCATTACCTAGGAGCACGGAGTCTGCAGCTCTTTAAGGGGGAATATGCAAGGAGGAAGACATGATTGCAATTCCCAGTTTGTGATTCCAGCATTTATCTTCCATTTTCTAAGCCACTGATTTAAAGTCTGAGGATATTTCCCTCCCTTTTTTCTCCCTCCTCCCTCCCTTCCAGTTTTGTTATTGTTGTTTTGGTATTTGTTTTTTGTTTCTTTTGATGAGGGATCCTCAAGCTATAGCCTGGGCTTTACTAAACTCTGTAGCCCAGACTAGCCTGAAACTTATAGCTGTCCTCCTGCCTCAGACCTCTAGAGTGAACCATATTTTCATCCCGGGTTAGGATGGTGGGCTTTGAAGTCTTCAGATATGTCTGTTTAGAGAGGCTTGAAGAGTACATCAGGATTTCAGTATTGAGAAGATATATTACAAACTTCATTGAATTTTCACGTAGACCCTTGGCCTCATCAGTATTGCATTATACTCAGTTCATTTTCGTTACACTTCTTACTTGGGGAATGAGAAGCCTAGTTCCAAACATTTTAACATTCTTTTTTTTTTACCTATTTCTAAATATTGATAAAAATATTTAAATGAGCAGAGAAATTAGCAGTTGTGCGGAGCTGGGAATAATATGATCACTCAACTATGAAGCCAAATGACTCCAATCAGAGCAAGTCAGAAAGCCAAACAGATCGTCCCTGGGCTGTAAACCATAGGCAGGAAACCCACAGGCACTAGGTGGCCTCAGATTGGAGACTCAGCTTTGCAGTCTGTTGGTTTAATGAGCTCCTGGTCTCTACTGGGATGAAGTCTAAAGCAGTTTGAAAAGTCCCAGAAATTTTGAGTTTATAGAACGACAAGGATTATGGCGTTTATATATGCCAGCCCTCACAGGGGTGCTCACCAACTTATGTACTCTAAGACTCAGCTTTGTTATTGAAAATAAATATTTAAGTATGGCATATTTTAAATATGAATATTTAAAATGTGAAGTGTATAACTATTAAATATCCCCTTAAATATTAGGATGGAAATCCTTATTAGCCAGTATTCTTTCATGGCAATAGTTTCAGCCACCAGTAGACCATGTGCTGATGTCTGTACTGCAGTATCAAGTTCTTTTTTCTCTCCCTTTTAAAAATATTTTAGATTATATTATCATACATAATAATGGCTTTCATTGCGACATTTCCACACAATGTATTCAGTCATATTTACCACAACTCCTGCTCCACTCTCTGGATAATCCTGCCCTTCTTCCCAACCCATCTCCTTTCTGTTTTTATTAGCAAATTCTGCCACCTACGGTCATCTTCCTTGAAAATTGGAAAATCCAGAAAGTCACACAGGAATATAAAACCCTGTACACGGGTGTATGTCCATAGACTGGTTTCTTGGCCTTTTATAATGTATTAATCTGAGCACTGGGAACTCACGTCGTACAAGGATAATGCAGGCACATTTGTATGTATGAGAAGTCTTGTAGAACGAGTAACTCCTGAGAAAGTAGAGCCCCAGCAACAAAATGATAGAATAGTTCAGAGACATCAAACAAAGTGACATTTTTTTCCAGAATATTCTGGGCAATCTTTATTAAAAGTTTAATTTAGAATATTATCGCAACATAGTATGGTTTGTTTGTTCAAACATTACCAATTTTTCAAAAACTTCCTTTAGTGTATATAAACTAAGAAAGCTTATACCCAACATGATTTTCTACAGGGACATTTTCATTTTTTTGAAGCAGAGTTCTATAGTGACATTTTTAAGTCTTCACTTTGGTACACACCTTGGAGTCCATAAGCCACCCCTCCCCATCTTCAGAGAAGAGGGAAGAAAGAGAGGTGTGAAGTACTGCACCTAGAGGGTTAGAAAGACACATTATCTCAGGCATGGCTAATGAGAATCAGGAAACACTGGTTACCACCGGATTCCAGCATCCTCTGGAAGCTCAGATAGAAGGACTCTGTTCCGTATTTTTGGTATAAGACAAAATTGAATCTCACCTGGATGCCTCTGATGTGTTTAACTTTCTTATCATCATCATCATCAACTCTGTTTAGGCCAGCCTTAAATGCCAGGCTATCCTTCTGCCTCTGTCTTCTGAGTCCTGGGATTCTGACTATGAGCCATCAAACCCAGCTTAAAGTATTAGATCCAATATCAGTGAGCCCTAGATTCATAAAAAAAGAATTGAAGAATCCTCCTGGATATTTACACAAGTATCAGAGTTAATCCCCTCCCTCTGAACCCCTAACAGTAATCTTCCTGAGTAGGGAAGTCTTAGTACAAATTGCCGCACTTAGGTTACAGGGCTTCTCCTGTTGCACAAATACACATTCAACCAGAGCTTTAGGATTCAGTAATTTTGTTTTGACATCTCATTTGTCTGTTCTGAAAACATAAAAGTTGTTGGCTTCAAAAGCAGGCTAATCTCATAAAACAATTTTTAGAATGTAGGTATGTGACTGACTTCCTAACACTCTGCCCGGAATCTTGGACACATGAACACTGACGCTTGAGTAGGGTGATTCATGGATGGTGAATCCTTATGAATAACTGAAATGTGAACTAAAACGGGAGTCAATGTCTAGTAGGAACCAGAGCCTGTTGCTTAAAAACTGTAAGACTCTTTTTGTTACTGAGGAATTTTCAGAGGTCAGATTAAAAGGCATCCAAACTAAAAATTGTAGTAATTTCTATTACAAAAGGTAAGAGCACAGTGGAATTTTGATATGCCTAGCATAACGATAAGCCAAAGCAGAAACAGTGTGACACAGTTCTGTTGTTGTAAACATTTTATGTGCTGTGTGCTTGTGTGGCTGTCTGTGCATATTGAAGTGATAGCCAGACTAGACTTTGTGAACTTTCTGCAGTCCGAGTCAGCTCATGCCTGTGTCAGTAGGTACAGGGTGTCACCCGGCACATGTGGTTCCTATTAAGTTTGTCTTTACCCATGTGTTTTCCATTTCTACCATTAAATCTCAGGCTTCAAACTCAGAGACAAGTTGACATTGGCAATGGATGTCAGTTACCTGCATGTTTATGGCAGTGTTTAAGGCTTACTTTTGGTACTCCTTCTCCCTGTATTCTTCCATTCCATTTTCAAAGACAGGAATGGAATCCCAGTTGGCCTTAGTGGCATGGCCTCCCAGCTATATGTTCCTCTCTTCCCCAAATACAGGCTAACAAGTTTCTCTCCCCTTTGGTGCCCATAGTGAGGTGAAGCTAACAGTGGCCTCATTCTTGTCTGACCGCATCGTGGATGAGATCCTGGAGGCGCTCTCCAACAGCCATCGAAAGCTGGTGAGTGCCAGCATCAGGAGTGAGGCCCTCTGGTTTGCCCTGCCTTGACATAGAGTGGGTTCCAGGAAGGGGTGTGGTTTGTTTCCTCTGTCTTCTTTGTAGCATGGTGGGTGGAGAGCCTGGCATTCCCTTCCCTTGTCTACTCCTCCTAGCCTTCCTGGAATGCATTAGAATTGAATGAAGGAGGTAGAGGGAGGAGTAGAAGTGAGCAGGTTTAGAAATCTTGTTCAATTTCAATGAAGGTCAAACATTTGGGTAGATGATGTTAAGACTAATGTCTACAATGAACATTTTTAGTTATGTACTGTACTACATATGCTGATGTCTTTCTGGTAGGATTATTTCAGAATGGAGCCAGGCGGTGGTGGCACAGGCCTTTAATCCTAGCACTTGAGAGGTGGAGACAGGGAGAACTCATTGAGTTTGAGGCCAGCCTGATCTACAAAATGAGGTCCAGGACAGTCAGAACTGATACACAGAGAATCCCTGTCTTGATAAGCCAAAAAAAAAAAAAAAAAACCAGAATGGCTTTGGGGTTTTGAGACAGATCTTATTTTAGCTCAGGCTGATCTAAAACTGAAGGCAATCCTCCTTTGTGGTCTCCTAACTTCTGTGATTACAGGTGTGACCCACTACTCCTTGCTCAGAATAGATATTTCTTATGTTTATGTTAGCTACAGAGGGATAGAGACATAAATATATATTTGTACAGAGAGAGAGAGAGGAAAGAGAAACAGGGAGCCCATGCTAGCCTCGATTCTCTACATAGCTAAGGATGACCTTTAACTCCTGATCCCCCTGCCTCTCCTTCCTGAATGTGTGTGCTGCCATGCCAGCCTATTCTTTAAAATCCAAAAGACAGTTTATTTGTAGTGGCAGTGCTCCAAATGTTGCCTGTGGACCCAGCTGGCCTCGAACACACATTACCAGTCTGTGGACATTTATTAGTTAAGAAGCCAGCAGGGGCTACTGAGACTTTCTAGAGCAATTGGACAGGACCACAATATTCAAGCACATACTATTTTCTAAATTTTTCTGTGTTGTATTTTATCAACGTGGCAGCCCTGTGCCAAATTTGTAGAAAACGGATTGGTGGTCCATCAAGCAGAAGAAGCTGTGTTCTCCTCTCCTGGCAGCCAGGGGTAGCTTTGTTGTTTAGAGTTCCCAGTTGAAACTCAGTGGAGCGTGTGCTTTAAACATCGATTCATTCATTCAAGAGACATGGTCTTGCTGTAGAGCCCTGGCTGGCCTGGCACATTCTATTTTAGAAATGTTTTATTGCTGTCCCATGGGTACTGGAGCTGCCTCAAAATGCTGACAGGATGCCACCAATACTGGATCATGTCTTGGCGTGATTCCACCTGGAAGGCCCTCATGGGAAGTTTGAAATTTTCACTCTTTTGCCTTTTATTAAGAATTTACTCAAAATATTAATTTTTCTTTATGCTTGGTCTGGGTTATAAAAACAGAAAATAAGTATGGTATGAAATTAACTATGGAATGAAAGTGGTCAATTAGTTTCCTTCCATTAGAGTTTAGGGATGTTCTCGAGGCTCATGTGGACTTCCTCAGCTGCTTCTCATCCCTTCAGATATAGTTTCGGGTGTCTACATCAATCCAGCACATTCCACTTTATACTATTGCTTTTGCAAATTTCCTAAAAAACATAAAAATAGGAATAATGGCTCATCAAATATGGTACTGCATACATGAAAACAATGGAAGGTAGTTTATTAAGTTTTCATTTATTTCTTTTTAGTATTTAAAAAATAACGAAAGTTGAAATCACCTTACCATAATTAGATATTATTAAGCAACTAGATACACAATAAAATTCCTGTTAAATAAAATTAATAAGAAAACTACTTATTTTATTCCCAATTAGGTAGTATTTTTATTTATTGACTTAAAAAAGATTTTTTAAAGGTTTGTTTTTTATTGGGTGTGTTTGGGTGCATTGATGAGCAGGCAGGCATATGGAGGACAGAGGACGATTTGTAGGAGTCTGCTCTCTTGGAAAGTGAGCCTCACGGTTCACTTCCATGGTGTATATTGGCAGCAGGTGCTTTGACCCGCTGAGTCATCTTGCCAGTATCCTCACTTAGGTTTCTTACTTGGCCTCCGAAAGTCATAAAAGAGGAAAGCTACTCTAACTTGTATTGATTCAGAGTCATCATTGATGCTAGGCCTGGTGGTAAACACCTGGGATCCCAGCACTCAGGGGCAGAATCAGGGAGGTTCTAGGTCAGGCAGATTAGATAATGAGTCATATTATCAATTTCCTTGCAAGATAGCACTGTACAGCACCACCTGGTGGAAGACATCTTCAGGAATCACTAATCAGTTCTGACTTGTTTCCTTCTCTAATTTCTCCTTGCCCTTCTTGACCCTAGGCGGACCATTTCAGCAGGCGAGGCAAGAGCCTTACCCAACGAGAGGCCGTAGAGGTGGAGCTGGCTGAGGAAAAGCCAGTGAAACGTGCCACTCTTACGGTGGAGGATCTCACCGAGGTGGAGAGGCTGGAAGACCTAGACACCTGTATGGTAAGCCTCAGCCCCTGCGGGTGCCCCATACCCCCTCCCCACCCCCACCACCATTGCGCAGTGCCCCTGGTTGGCTTTTAAAGTCCCATTGTTTGAAATCAGACACATATCAGAACTTGGGGAGAGGCATCCAGGACCACATGGATGAAGCAGCTTCCACGAAGAGGCATGCAGGTCCAAGATGGAACCTCTCAGGATGACACAGTGGGGAGTGACCTTCCTCAGGGTCTGATGGCTTCTCCGGGTCTGATCATGTTGGCTTCAATTTCAGTGCTTACTTTGTTGTAAAGACCCAATATGCACAGTTGCACTTGAGAAGGGAGAGGGCCCTAAGTTAGGCTTAGACATTAATGTGGCTTGCATTAATGTGGCTTGAAAGGTTACTTCTGAGATCACAGAACATATTAGATACCACTGATCTCTTTGAAAAAAAATTCAGTACTTGGTCAACAACTGTTAAATGTAGGTTCCGGCTGAAATTGGAGAATGAAAACTTTGAAAACACCCTGAACTCATAAGATGGGTTCTTTTGGTGGTGGGGGGGGAGTGTCTTGTTTTTTTTTTTGAGACAAGGTGTTTCTCGACAGCCCAGGCTTGTCTAAGACTATGCATGTCACTCAAGTTGACCTTTAAGTAAGGACAGTCTTCATGCCTCATGCTTGGGGTTACAGATGTGAGCCACTATAAAGTTCAAGCCAAAAATGCTCTTTTTGTTGTTGTTGTTGGTATTGGTGGTGTTCTGTTTTTGAGACAGGGTGTAAGTAGCCCTTGCTGACCTCAAAGCTCTGTTTGTAGAGGATGACTTTGAATTCCAAGTCCTCCTGACTCAGCTACCAAAGCACTAGGATGACAAGTGTGCTCACCATAGTCTGCTTTGATGTCTCTCAGCACTCAGAAGCAGAGGCTAATAGATCTCCATGAGTTTGAGCCCAGCCTGTTCTACATAGCAAGTTCCAAGACAGCCATGGCTATTACATAGAAAAACACTGTCTCAAAACACAAACCAAACCAAAACGAAAAGCCATGAATAATGACAACAAAAAACAAGGTCAGAAAGAGGGTCTTCTGCAAAGGGGGATAGGATGGGATGGAGAAATAGCTTAGTGATTAGTAGTGATTGCTGCTCCTTCAGAGGAATGGAATCCGCACACAGCTCACAACCACAAAAACTGTAGCTCCAGGGAATCTGACACTTTTTTCTGGCCTACTTGGTTATCCACAAGTATGTACATCTGACCACACACACACACACACACACACACACACACACACACACACACACACACACAAATTAAATAAATAAATAAATAAATAAATAAATAGTGAGATAAATCTGTACAAAGTATATTTGCTGTCCACACCACCTGCTCCTTTCACACATCAGGGCATCTCAGGGAATCAGGATGTCCAAACTGCAGCTTCTACCTGCACTTCTTGTGAGCATTCAGGGTTTGAAGGGTTCAGTTCTTGTGTTACTGATTAATTATCCTTAATTTGTCACTACTTCTAATATAATGTCTTTAAAAAGTGCCCAGAGGTTGGGGTGGAGGTGAGAAGGCAGTGTCTGTGGCTCAGGCTTGGCATTACTAGCTCACTAATTGTCTGCCATTCTCTCAGTTATTTTAATGAGTGTCAGACCAGTTCAAAATCAAAAAAGACATTTGTTGCTGAAGAGCTATTCATCTCTGACTGCTGTTTGCTTGGAGGAGAATTAGGGCAGGCTTGAATTAACTGGAACACTACTTTGCAAACCCTGTCTCCAGCGATAGAGCAGCAATTATTTCCTTCAATACTTTCTAGCCATATACTTCAATATTTAATTTTAAGTTTTTGAATACACTCTAAAATTTAGTGAAAGGGTAATTGATCTAATTGAGATACTATTTTTTTTAATTAATTTAAGGAAATTGCCTCATTTTCTGATACCAGCAGTTCACATATATGGAAGTTCTGACACGGTTCTTGTAGCCCAGGCTAGACCTTCAACTTCTGTGGAACTGACAATGACTTTGAACTTCTGCTCTTCCTGCCTCTACGATTTCAGTGCTGTATTGCATACATAAGTCACCTTGTCAACCTTTTGGCAGTGATTTTTCTTTTTCTCTTTGTGTGTATTTGTCTGAGTGTGGGTATACAATTCTCTCTCCCTCTCTTTCTCTCTCTCTCTCTCTCTCTCTCTCTCTGTCTCTCTCTCTCTCTGTGTGTGTGTGTGTGTGTGTGTGTGTGTGTGTGCATATGGAGGACAGAGGCTAAACTCAAATGTCAGTCATTGGAACTGTTTCCCATGTATTTTGAAACAATGTCCCCCACTGGGATGCGGCACTTGCTGGTTCCTGACTCTACCTCTACTGAGATACAGCTCCATGCCATTATGTTGGGCTTTTTAGTTGGGTTCTGGAACTTGAGCTCAGTTCTTTGTGTTTTTAAGAAAACTGAGCCACCTGTCTTGTCAAACCCAGCCGTTTTTAGTTAAATGGTTTGTTCACACGGCTGCTAACCACAGGCTGTGGTCAGTGTGTCTCGTTTACAACTAGCTGCACAGCAGATGGTCTACATGATGCCTGTTAAGTTATTCCTTGCAGTTTTATTCAGTGACAGCCCTTTCTTATGGGTAGCACTTTCGAAAGAGGAGATGTGACAACATTTTAGCCATGAGGTTCACTAGCACCCTCAACCCCCACGTCTTAGTTTCACTTCTATTGCTTTGAAAATACTCTGACAAATGGGAAGAGCTTTATTTCAGCTCACAATAGAAACACGGTGTGTGTGTGTGTGTGTGTGTGTGTGTGTGTGTGTGTGTGTGTGTGTGTGTGTTTTGAGACAGGCTGACATGCAGTCCAGGCTGCCCTGAAACTCCTGATCCTCCAGTCTCTAGTTTCTTAATGCTTGCATTATCATTCTGTACCCACTATACCTCATGAAGAAAGAAGAAAAGGTTGTTGGTTTTTTGTTGTTTTGTTTGTTTGCTTTTTGAGGCAGAGATTTTAGTCTGGGTTCTGAATTCAATGATATTTTAATTTGGGAAAACATTGCCTGTAGGTACTAAGCATTAATGAACTTGGTATATAGTGAGAGGGCTTGTCTATCAAAGGGGAAGAAGATGGGAGGTCCTTAAAGGAGACCTGTTACCTAGGTGATGGACAAAGAAAAGGCTGGAATGATGGCTGCTGGCCCTCAGAAGAACCCAGAATTTTGGTGTGGTTGCTCATGCCAGTAATCCCAACACTTAAAAGGTAAAAGAGGGAGGGTCCAGGATTCTAGGCTAGCCTGGGTGACATGAATCCTTGCTTCAAAATAAACAGAGTGAAATAAAAGACAAGGCCAGGGGAGGAGGCAGAAGTACCGTCTGCTGATCAATTATGTAGTGATGAACTGTGGGAAAAGAGACTCTGGATCAAAAGTAAATTTCTTTATCCTTGAAACATTTGTTGTGTATGAGGTATTCTTGGATTCCCACAGTAGGTAAGTAAAGCTTCCCACCAGACTTCCAACACTGAAAGACCCCACCACAGTGCTAACTTGGATAGATCCAGGCACTGACTCTCAGGTAACTTCAACTCCTGGCTCTGCTTAGATGTTGGGACGTGGGAGTGTACCACTAACAAGAGGTCACAGAGAAAGGCTTTCTTTCTGGCAGCATGCATCTTCCATTCTTCCATTCCATTGTAAGGTCTATGCAACTGATTTGTGAAAAGACTGGGCTGAGATCAAGCATAAAAATCTGAGAACATGGTTGAGTAGGAGGATCCCAAGTTCAAGGCCAGCCTGGGATTCAGAGTGAGTTCAAGGCTGTGGCAACTTAATGAGATCCAATCTCTGAACGAAAACTTAAAAGAGGGCTGGGATGTAGTTCCATGGTAGTGTGCTTACCTATCATGTTCAAGGTCCCAAGTTCAATCCCTGTACCACACATATATACGCTAGGTGTGAACATGCTGGGTGTGTTGGCTCCTGCATATAATGGAAACATTTGAGAAGTTGAGGTAGAAGAATCACTGTGAGTTGAAGATGTAGCCTGTGCTACATAGTAGTGAGTGAGACCCAGCTCAGAAAGCATTTTTTAATGTATGAACATAGTATTGGATTAGATCAAGTGCCTATTTTAATTATGCATACATGCATGTGTGACAAACTGCCATGTACTGTAATTTACCTGCTTTATTTCAGGCTTCCTTAAATAGGAGGGATCTAGAGGTGAGGAGATGGCTTAGAGGGTAAAGTGCTTGATGTACCACCTAGCACCTAGCACCGGTGTAAATGAGCTGGGTGTGGCGGTGTGCATCTATAATCCCAGCACTGGACAGAGAAGCTTCTCTGGGGCTTGCTGGAAAGCTAGTCGAGCTGAAATGGTGACCTCTAGGTTCAAAACATGATGTTCAGAGTGATACATAGGGAGATACTTGACATCAATCTCTGGCCACTGCACACATGTGAGCATATCAGCATATACCACACACTACAGAATAATCAGTGTCTTAAAAAGAAGGCTTATAGCATCTCCAGGGATTGATGTTGGTCTCTTCAATCTGAAGGGCAGAACTCTAAGGGCAAAGCAGAAATAAAGGGTGGAGGAGGATGTGGTACCCTTTAGAGTCTGGGCTATGTATACTAACTCTCTACCCCTTTTGCCTGTTTTCTGAGCCCCAAGTCCTTCTCTTGACTGAAGTATGATTTTGATTTATGTCATTTATCTCCACTAAGGGCCCATTGAGTAAGCACCACTATAGCATTTATCATTGGCTAGGTGTGTGGTGGTACATTCCTTTAATCCCAGCACCTGGGTTCCAGGACAGCCTAGTCTACATAGAGAGACCCTGTCTCAAAAACAAACAAAAAAACCTGCATTATTATGCTATATACATGTTCTATATCACTGCTGATTTTATCTCCAGATATCATTGTTACAAAAGAAATTGCCTGCTTTTAACCAAGAGTGATGGAAGTTTCCAGCAGTGTACTCTCTACCCCTTAGACACAGTTGTGTGCTTATTGGAACCTAC